CAGCTGTACCGGTACGGCGGTACGACACGCGTAGTCAAAAATAAAACTGATAAACGTACGCAATACATAATTTTATTTATAGAGCGCGACTTTCATAAGAATACCAAACGTCAAAAACACAATACGAAAACATAATATTTATGATTCATCAATTATAATTAAAATCTGTGATGACCTGGGAGAGACACGTAGAACGCTGCTCGATATTTTCCACGTTGAAGAAAATGTATCATAAATATTTTGTTTTAGTTAAAAAGTAACCATGACACCGAAAAGGTGAAGCAAAATGGCTTAGAAAAAAAAATATCTGTACACAACTCAAAAACATATTTATGTTAAGAGGACGTAATACCCGTATGCGTTGTCTACTTGTCTCCGTCTTACAAATGTCAAACATAGAAAAAAACAGTTTTGCGCGGGATAGAACCTCTCCCTTGGTATTTATAGTAGATTACCAAAATGCCAAAACGCAGGGAACAACTTTATTTGAGTCGTAGAGCTTTTATTTTTTTTATAGCATTTAGGTACCAATAATTTTTAATAATTAAATGAAAAAAACAAAAAAATCCTAATGTTCTCAAACCGATAACTTTAATTTTATTTATGGTGTCTAAATAATAAAAACGCTACAACACAGATAAAGTTGTTCCCTATGCGTTGTGAGATTTTGGTAATTCTACTATACATACCGAGGACTGAGGAGTGGTTGTATCCCGCGAAAAACAGTTTTTCGTTATGATAAGTATGATGTACATTTGTAAGACAGAGACAACGCATACGGGTATCACGTCCTCTTAATAATTAATATTAAGTATATTAACCCGACAATAATTTATATCCATTTTTTTGGTTTGTTAGTTGAATATTAATGTTAATATTAATATTAATATTTAGTTCTGTACAAACGTAGGCTGTTATCACTGATCACGATATAAAAATCGTTTCCAATTATTGATTTACCATGCATAAAAATAAGCAATACATATCGGTACTCAAATTTTCGGAGAAAATATTTACTAAATTAGTTCAGGAAAGCCATAAAACACATTCAGTACCTAACCGCTGACCATTAAGCATATTCTTTAAAATATTTTATAATTGACTTAGGTGGTGACAAACGGGGTATGTCACTGTATCACCAAGACCCAAGTAAAAACATATTTGCACCAATTTTCTTAAAGAACTCGAAATTAATACATTTTTAATTTTGTTTCCAATAAACGCCCTCGGAAATAGAAAATAATTATGCTTATGACGAGCTCAAATGCTCAATATTGTTTGATAAAATGTTACTACAAATTTTATACTTTAATGACAATAATTTTTATTGCGAAATATTTAGCGGAATATTTTTTTTTACATTTTGATGAATATAAATCAACATTTTGATGAGTAGTTTCAGAGTTATTAAAATGTTAATACTAAGGATAATAATTCGTAAAACTGGTTTTATAAAAATAAAAACTGTATAATATGTAATATTAGATGTAGTATTTATTATACTAGGTATGTCCCCTTTTATCGTGGAACCCCTACTTTTTTTTTTTTTACTTTTTAGCTTTTTTATTTATCTTTCAACAATAAGTAATTACTTCCCGACAATTAAAACCCCTACTTTATTTCAATGGTTTTAATGCGTCATTTTTACAAAGATTATTTGCAATAAAAATTATAATAATTTCATATAATAATGTTTATACTGTATTTAATTCAAAAAATATTTTAAATAACAGACAAAAAGGACTTCTAAATTTAAATTTTAAGGAGATGAGTGAAATTACTTTTTATTATTATAATTAATGTTTTTAGTATTGGGCTTTATTGATGAAAGTTGTATTATCATAATATTAGGTTCGGCATTAAGGTTCACGGACGGTCGTAACCAATTAGTATTTTTATCAACGAAGTTCAAATATTATTTCTGTATAAGTACTGTATAAGCACTATAAGTACAAATATTATTTCTGTATAGGTACTGTATAAGCACTATAAGTACACTAGAGAAGTATAGACTATACCATATACATTATTATTTAATATACAAATATTTGTTTTTCTATAATACAAATATTTTTTTCCCCTACTTACGTTACTTATCTTTAGTTAGATTTTTTAAAGTATATTTTAGTGGAACACAGTTTAAAAAACTCTGGTGTAAGCCCATTACCATAGACATATCATCCTTAGTACACACTACAGTCATATAATTAATAACTACTTGAATTTTGATTTTGAGATATCAAAATTCTCAAAATGAATATCTGCTTACTAGGATGTGAACCCGCATGCACTGTCTTCGTCTTAGTGTCTAACACACACGTACCAGACAGCATTTTGTAATGATAATATTATAATAACTTTATACTAATATTATTCGTTATTATAATGTTATAATAATATATTTTAACAAAAAATTGCTGTCTGGGGTATGTCATACCAAATTTTTGTATAATATTATTTAAATACAATTTTTTTTTGTTAAGAATTTGTTTGAGTATCTACTTGGACTTTTTGCATTGCATGACTATGATACGGTCATATGGCGTCATTTCATCATTTTATCAATCAATGATAACAATATTAATTTTTGTAATTTTTTTTATAGTTTACAATTGTATGTTGTTATACATTTTGACAATAATTAAATGAATGTATCATCATTATCCGGGTCATTATCTGTGTTTTTAAAAACATTTCATAAATAAACAATTATAACTAAACAGTAAACAAAAAGGTTCTTTTTTTTTGGTGCGGGAGTACAAATATTTGCAACCAAGTGCGCAAAAAGTATAAATACAGCCCTGTTTGTAGCCTTGTAAGTTCATATTTGAAAAATAGAAGTTTGTATTGTCACAAGATCATTCCTAGGTGGTACAAAAAATCTAAAGAATTGAAAAATATGATGTTCAAGTGTACCTATTTAAAAATTCCAAAAAATCAGAATTTGAATAAAATATGCATAATTTAAACAAAAAATTATGATGAGCATGCTTAATAATCACCCAATATATTAGAAATGTATAAAAAATCTTCATAATAAAAGGAATTATACAGTTCAACATTATAATATAGAGATTAATTAACTTAATTTTTATGAAATGTAGAGTAAAAATTGGTAATTTACACTTGTTTAAATGTAATATTATTATCATTTATCAACAATCTAAAAGTGAATAACATACTTAAATTAAGTAGAATCAGTGGTAAATGGCAACACTAAATAATATTATGAGAACCAAACTGAACTACAGAAACATTCAAACATGGATAAATGAATTATTTAGATACCTAATAACAATATATTTTTAACTTCGTCATAAATAAACATGAATACATAATTGAAAATATGTAATATAAATTATAAAGTAGTATAATAATATATAATATACTAGCGGAATTATCCAAACTAGACCGAAAAAAAATTCTGATTGTTCAACTCCTTTTGGGTGTAACACATTGTGGAAGCAATGTATTTTTAAGTGTAAATTATATTATATTTTTATGTATAGCCATCTCGACCAGCATTGTCAGTGAGATTCACTTGTGATTATTCGAGTAGTATATTATTATCAGGTAAGCAATCTACCTACGATAGATCGCGGACCCCGTGTGGTTTATACAAAGTTATACCAAGTTTGTCGATTGTTGTTTTTACTTAATTCAACCTACAGTGGATTATTACAACCAATTAATACTAAATGATAACCTAACCATACTAAAATCCGATGTATAAAAAAAAAACCAAACATTAGTGTGTATAGTTAAATATAAAAAAATAGCTCTGCTGTACAGTAGGTTACAAGGTGGTCACTGTATAATGGATGGTATTAATTTTGAATTCAATGATATAATGTCATTGTATAAGAAAAATGATTCTGAGGGAAGACGGTATGTCAGCCTAGGTATAAAACATATTATATACTTATCTATTGTATTAAAAAAAAAAAAATGTAACTATAATAAATTCCAAATTAATCATATCACAATTGCCTGCCTTTAGGTATTTATAACTTGTTACACATCAACAACAAACCGTGATACTATAATAGATATATAATAATATGCTTTAGAAGTTTCAATTACCCACAAATAATATTATACAATCACAACAAAATAACTAAAACAGTTATTCTAGGTTTTTTATTATGTAATTTTGTCCAAATTTGAATTTAAAATGTCTGTAAAAAATAACTGTGTTCATATATTTTTTAGATGTTTTGGTAACAGAATAAACTACTTATGTAGAATCTTTTAGTATTAAAAGTAATTAGTAATAACAGTAGGTAAAGAATGTAAAAGTAGGTAAAAAAACAGTAAGTAATAACATGACCTTTTTTTCTAGTTATTAGATTAATAAGTTCCAAACATAAATGTTGTAGTCACATGTATCAACATTTTAACATGGTTAACAGGTAATTAAATTTTTTTTTACATTTTTAACGGTGTAAACATTACTTTGACGTGTCAAAATAGATGAGAAATATTTTTTTAAATAAAATAACAACAATAATTTAACACTATTATTCAAAAAATGAAAATAAAAATTCAGTAGATATTTTTATGGGACAATATCTTGTTATTTAGTGTTTAGTTATGTTCAAGATAAAGTGCTTAAATTGAACATTTTGAATAGTCAAACAAAAAGAGATAATCATAATATAAATGAAATACATTATAATATCATGTTATATAAAATACCTAATACTAATATGTCAATTATGTATTCCAATAATATTTATATAAAATATATAGTGCCACTATAAACCTATTTAAAAATATAAGGTTCATTACAAATAATATGTCTCCAAGTCATTAATAATGTTCAAATTATTTTGCGATACGACTAAATAGTTTTAATGCATGTCAATAGGTCAATAAAAATAACAATATTGCAATTATTCTACGCCTTCATTGACCGAGCAAAAAAAAAAAATTAAGAGGCCACAATAGCCCGTCATCATGGTCAATCAATAAAGTTAAATAATAAATTAATAACTTACTTTCAATGATGTTGGACTACGAACTGATTGTGTAGCTGATTCATTTAAACTTGATTTATTTACAATCAATTTCCTGTAAATAATAAATGTTGTTGATATTTGATATTTATAACATGAGTAAAAAAATGCATGTTTTGAACTCAAGACTTCGTAGAAAAATACTACAAAAAATTTTACATAGAAAATACATTAATTTTCTTTTTTTAATTAATGTATTACCTATATCTACTAAGATAATAAATTTGATGGACTTAAAGTTACTATAATAAATAAAGAAATTACTTGTCATTGGCTTTTGATTTGTCATCAACCTTGAAGGATTTAACTAATGTAGCAAGCCTATCTCTACTTAAATCATTTGAATCGATTTGAGACGATGCACAATATGCTATCCAAGATCCAACTAAATCTGATGCTGATATTTTATGTGCATGACATACAATGACACCTAAAAAATAATAAAAATTATTAAGTATTAGTATTTGTTAAGATATGACTTAAAGTAAACACTAAATAGTATTTTATATACTACCAATATTCAGAATTTATTCAATCTTTCTTTACCATCAATACTTCAAAGTTATTCAATTTTATATATTTATTGTTTTTATTATATTCCAGAGAAACATTTTTAAAACATTTATAATCTTCTCAATTAAAGCTGTTTTTCACAGCAAAGCCATCAATTAAATATTATTAATTGAATTTCAGATTTAGGGCGACGTAAGGAAATCTTATGCCTGTATCTTTTTCTGAAACGGTGTATCAGTGACAGACAAATATCAAACAGAGAAATACGAGAGAATTTGTATGTTAAATTGCACAACTTACTTATACTGAATCCAATTGAATGTATATTATTAAGATAAAAAGTAAATAACATAATATATTTTACTTTATTGATGACTAGACGTCTAGACACAAACCAGGTCTGTGTTTGCAATATACAGAGCTAGCAGTGAAACTAGACTATTTAAATATATGTATATAGAGCAGGCCAAAATATTTTAACTATACATTTTGTAAATCAATCAAAAATAGTTTGTAATAAATGATACTACAGAACAAATGTAAGATAGGTATCAGAAGTGTCTTGGATATATATAAGTAAGGCATATGTAATATGTATATTATAATAAAATATGAGATGGTGATTAACCAAAAAAAACTCATTAATTAGATATTCTTATTATTCATTTGTTATTATTATTATTATAAGATATTTAGCGTAAAGATTTTATGTGAGTTAAATTTTTTTAACGAATAAAACCATGGCTTAATATATTGAACCATGAATAAAACATTATTAGTATATCACTCTTACAGTTACTTGGGTTTGTTTTTAACATAAATATGTTTTTGAGCTGAATATAAGATTTTTTAGATTCTGAGTGAAACGATGAATGTATTGATTTTACAATGATGTGTGTTTTTTTATTTTTTTTTTTTATTTTTTTTTTTATTTTTTTATTTTTGTGTCTGTCATCACGTTTTAGGACAGTAAAAGTGCTTGGATTTTCTTCATCAGTAGCTTTTCTGATAGGAAAGTGAATCTAGTTGGTACTTTGGGGGGTCAAAAGTATAAATTTCCCAGTAGTTTTCACAAGCGCCGGGAAAAACAACATAAAAATTAAGGAAAAACGGGAATTTTTACGCAAAATTGGTTTTCCAAAAAATCGATTTTGGTTTTTGGTGTAACTCTGAAACAAATGAACGTATATACATGAAATTTTCACTGGTTGTTTATATTTGCATTTTCTATACACGATAACATTTTCAAAATATTTTGATTTATTTTGAACTGTTTAGGGACATTTTCATTTTCCATTTTTTTTTAGTTTTTTTTCTAAAAATATCAATAAAATTTTATTTGTTGGTTGCGAAAGCTTGAAAATTTAATAGAAGGCTCCTAATATATTGCTTCAAAGGCAGATGAAAAATATTAAAAATCCTTAGTCACAATTTTTTTTTATAAGCATTTAAAGTTCAAAAATTGACAAAATATGGGAAAATCACGAAAATTAGCAAATTATTTTGAGTTAAGAATTCGTAAAAATTTTTCTTTTTAAATCTAAGATTTGAAAATTAAACACAAGATTCCTTATAAGTTTGTCTACCTTTATCAAAAGAAAAATGTTTATAAGAAAGTCAAATTAAATTTTTATGAGCGTTTGAAATTCAAATTTTTACAACATTGAATATTCACTCGATTTCCCATGTAGCGATTTCCTTATTTTGTTGTAATTCAAAAACAAATAACTGTAGATACATGAAAATTTCACTGAATGTTTAAATTAGCATTTTCTATACACCATACAATTTTGAAAATATTTTGACTCTTTTTGAGCTGTTTATGGACATTTACAGCTTTCAATTTTTTTTAGTTTTTTTTTCTATAAATATCAATAAAGTTTTATCTGTTGGGCCAAAAAGTGTAAAAATTTAATACAAGGCTCCTGATATATTGTTATAATATCAGTTGAAAAATATTAAAAATACATAGGCACAGTTTTTTTTTATAAGCATTTAAAGATCAAATTTTGACAAAATTTATCAAAATCTCGAAAATTATCAATCATTGTAATTAATAAATTATAAAATGTTCAGTTTTTATAGCTAAGGATTGCAAATTCAACACAAAGGTTCTCGTAAATAGTTCATACTGTAACCAAAAAATCTAAAAAATATATGAACACAGTTATTTTTTACAGACATTTTAAATTCAAATTTGGACGAAATTTCATATTAAAAAACCTAGAATAACTATTTTAGTTATTTTGTTGTGATTGAATAATATTATTCGTGGATACTTGAAACTTCTAAAGTGTACTTTTATATATCTATGATAGTATCACGGTTTTTGTTGATGTATAACGCGTTATAAGTACCTAATGGATATTTTGATATGATTAATTTGGAATTTATTATAGGTACCCATTATAGGTCAATTTTTTGTTTAATACCATAGATATGTATATAATATGTCTTATACATAGACTGACATACCGTCTGCGCTCAGAATCGTTTTTCTTATACAATGATATTATATCGTTGAATTCAAATTTAATATCATCCATTATACAGTGACCCACTTGTAACCTACTGTACAGCAGAGCGACACCCACTTGCCCACCTTTTTTTATTATGAGGCCAATAAAATTGTTGTCATGGTTTCTTATTAACAAAAACATATTTATAATTCAGAGATTTTTCTTGTAAAGGAAAAATACAATATAGTTTGCTACAGGGTTTATTTAATATAGAGTTAAGTTTTTTTTTTTTTACTTTTACTACTTGGGTACATTATATAATCATTTAATATATGTATCTAAAAAGTTAAAAATAATGAATAATGTAAGAAATGCTAATCCATTTATGTTAACAATCTTTTGAAACACGAGACAATAAAAAAATTTATCATAATAAGTAGCATATAAAATATTATCAACAGGAATCCTAACTATTTATTAGTCAGTATTATGTTGTTTCTGTGTTGGCTTTTATAAGTAAAATAAAATGTTATAGGTAGTCTTACAAACTACTACAATCGTTCAACAAATAAAGTAGATGAATAAAAATTTAAAATTATAGTGTTTAAATATTGTGTCTGGCTGTCTGGGAAACATTTACTTAGGTACTAAATTGGTAAGTATACAAAAATATGAATAATTTGCGAATATCTATTAGTTCACATAATTAATATATAACACGGATCAATCTAATAAAATATTTAGGGCCGTTCTTTCAATGTCCGGTAAAGTGTTGGTTAACGCTAACCGATGAATAACAGATTTTATTACCAGCAAAATTTGGCCGGTTAAGTGTCGATTAACTTTAACCGGACATTGTAAGAACGACCTTTATTGTCTAACTTAATATTATAGCGTTATAAGTATATCCATGTATGTTATAAAATTAAAATATATTTATATAAAATTATGTTTAAAAAGGTGGGTAAGTAGGTGTCGCTCTGTTGTACAGTAGGTTACAAGTGGGTCACTGTAATAGATGGTGGTTAATTTGAATTTAATGATATAATATCATTGTATAAGAAAAACGATTCTGAGGGAAAACGGTCAGTCAGCCTATAATATAACTAAGTATATTTGATGATATTATTGTGAATAAAGTAATTTATATATAACTTATTTACGTGGCACCTTGTTTTAAATTTTCAATTCTTAGCTATAAAAGTTGAACATTTTATAAATTTTTAACTACAATATAATTATTAAATTTTAAATTTGATAAAAGAAGTCAAAAATATGAACTTTAAATGCTTATAAAAAAAAAATTGTGCCTATGTATTTTTTATATGGTTCAACTGTTATTGTAACAATATGTCAGGAGCCTTGCATTAAATTTACACACTTTTTTACCAAACAAAAAATTTTTATTGATATTAATAGAAAAAAAAACTAAAAAAATTAAAATTTGAAATGGCCTATAAAAAGCTCAAAATGATCCAAATTATTTTCAAAATTGTATGGTATATAGAAAATGCTAATATAAACATTCAGTGAAATTTTCAAGTATCTACAGTGGTTTGTTTTTTAATTACAACAAAAGAAGAAAATCGTTGATGAGAAATCAAGAAAATATCAAATGTTGTAAAAATATAAATTTCTTAAAAATTTAATTTGACTTTGTCTTAGACATTTTTTTTTTTTTTGATAAAGGTAGACGACAAACGTATGTGGAATTTTGTATTACATTTTCAAATCTTAGATTTAAAAATATAATTTTTTATAAATTTCTAACTCAAAATAATTTGCTAATTTTCGTGTTTTTTCCGTATTTTGTTAAGATTTGAACTTTAAAATGCTTTTTACAAATAAGCTGTGACTAAGGATTTTTAATATTTTTTAAATATCGATGTCACAATATTGTAGGAGCTTTGTACCTATTAAACTTTCAAGCTTTTATACCTATCAAATAAAGTTTTATTGACATTCATAGAAAAAAAAGAGTAACAAGTTTGGAACTGAGTATATCCGTAAACAGCTCGAAACAAGTATACTGCTATATATTTTCATTTATTAACAATAAATAAATAAATTTCCCCAGTTTTATGGTGTCACCCTCACCGATTTTGTGACTAGGAAAGTCAGCTAAAATACTTGAACTTGTATAGATTTAATCTCATTTAAAAATCACAAAATAATGTATCTAATAAAGCGAAGGTTTTCAAAAAATTCCATTTATCCCCACCATTAATAATAATTCAAATCTTTGTTTAATAGTAAACAGTCAAAATTATTGTTAGTAACTATTCCGTTTAAAAATACAACTGCAAATACCAAAAAAAAAACAGATATCACAGATATCGATATAACTCTTACAGTGCACTATGCCACTATGTCAATAACTCTATATACAATGATATACCTAGTTTTTTTTATATATACTTACATTCATCAATTATGTCGTCCGGTATGTTCATTCCCATGTCTTCAAATTCATTCACCAAAATCGGACGGTCCATGGCTCTGCTGGTGGATCCTGTGAGGTCGTTTGATGTAGATACGATTATCTTAATACCGAACTCGACATAATAATATTATAATAATAATATAATATGAGTAGAGTGAAAGTGGAATAAAATTGAATAATTTGTTATCGGCTATCGTTTTCAATAGTTAACGATATAATTCAAAGCAGAATCTTCTATGTACGGTTAAAATCATCAATTTATCAATTATGTTTCGAACGCATCACTTAATGTGACTTAATGAATACCGTTAAAAACGTGTGAAACAAAATTACCAAATTCAGCGTCCAGCGACAAACGACGATGGTTTTTCGTTTATCTAATAAATTAACGAAATAACGAATGCCGAACAGCCAATAGGAAATTTATTTTACCATTTGAGCAGGCGTAATCACAATGAAAACAAAAATCGGCGGTATAACCTACAAAATCAACATTTACAAGGTAATGGTGGAAATTAAATAACATGATATTGTGAACGTATGGTTGACGTTTTGTCGTGATTCCAGGCGCACCGACATTAGGTAAGCTCGACAACAGTCCGAAAATATTGCTTCATTGTCTGTAATGGCGGGCGGCGGCTGGCGAGTGTCCGTGTTGTAGTAATGTAGTGTTGTTGGTCTATGGTCCTGTCTGAGAACAATGTAAGTCCGTAGATGCCAGTTGATAGTTCGGTGCTCTTTTCTTGCCGTGTCTGAGTTATAACCTCATAACTGAGACGCTGTGTATGGTGTATCTGTGTACGAAATTACAACACTAAAAATGGTATACACAAGACGCAGTAAAAAGTTGGAACTCCAAGCTGCAAAAGTGAATACAACAGAACGCAGTTTAGCACCTGCAGACGAGCATTTTATTTGGAGTACTGAACGGAAGATTGCATTGTTCCAATCCATGATTAATCGGAAACCGGCTGGTAAGTTTTTACAAGTTGGTTTATAAAATTATAATCGTACTATCTGATCCCGTGCACTTCGTTTCCCGTTAAATGTACCAACTCTATATGACTCAAACTTTGTTCGATTCGTTATTTAATATTCGGTGTATGGTGTTCAAAATTTATCTTAACTTTTCTGTTGCCTGGAATAAAAATTCTGATTTGCAGCAGTATATTATCAGGTAGGCAATGTACCTTCGGTAGATCGCGGACCCTGTGCTGTCTGTACGTAACTTTATAATTTAACTCTAAAGTATCAAAGTTATACCAAGTATGTTACTGAACTCTTCCTAAATGGTTGGACTAGTTGTGAATGCCGAGTCTGTCGACCAATATTTCCTCCTCGTCCACGAATACGTTGCATCGTGATTGTTTTATGTACGTAACTTATATATGAGTATAATAGGTATGCTCAATATTTACGTAATTGTGATACATATAATATCAAAACACAGTGTACAAAAAAATTAAATGCATTGAATGAATACACTGATTTCACGGCAACCAATAATTATTTTTATAATAGCTTTAAAACCCATGGCGACCATTTATAAACAAAAATGACCACTGTAAATCTCTAAATACCCTTTTGAGCACATCCCCTGGTTGGACCTAGGGGGATGATTTATAGCCTATGTGTTATTCTGATGTATAAGCTATATTATTGTAAAGTTTCATTAAAATCCATTCAGTAGTTTTTACGTGAAAGAGTAACAAACATACAAACTTTCGCGCTTATAATATTAGTGAGATGTTAAGTCTATCTAGTCTTTCATAATTTTTTCATTTCTAAAATGTCTCATTACAATACTTACATTATACAGATAGCGCTAATTCACCTGTTTGAGAGACAACTGGGGAGAGACCACAATTTGATTCACCAAGATATACATATGCCACATTTACACATTTTTAAAAGACCTAGTACAATTTCCATTAAATGGTTACTATGAAGTAACTAAGTAAGTCCAGCAATACATAGGTAGGTACCCACTTTAATATTCCACTGGGCACTCACCTTCAATTATATTATATGCCTGTCTTATTGAGCCATTGTCGCAACATAACTGATTATAGAAGTACTAAATTTTTCTAATTTTATCTTGATTTTTAATTTTTAATTATTTATTCATAAAAAAAAAATACTTTTTTGATGTTGAGTGAATAATTTGAACATGTTTTAAAAGCTAAAAGACTGGTGGTTACTAAAATAATTTGTTCAATGACATTTGACTCAATATATATTGAATACATAACTTTGTCTTTAATCATTATAAATAAAAATTTGTCCTCACGTACCTATTAACCGGGACTACCCAACAGCATCATATCTAGGACTTTTCCACGGGAAGGGATATAAAGATTTTAATAGACATTCATTATACACAAATATGTATTTATATTATTATTTATATGTTGTATTGTGTACTACAAAATTTGGTCTCAGGGAGAGGGGCATTTCGTTTTTAAGAAGGTACCTAAATAACTGCCAACTATTACTAGCGTATAGCACTATTATTTATTTTGATTAATGCAATACTTATAATGAAATAATTTGTATGCCTAATTAATTTGCATTTAAGGAATAAATAAGCATATCAATATGATTCTCATTAAAACTGATCTCAGTAAACGTCTTGGGATGGATGTGCCCGTTAAAGAAATATGGAGATTTCTTAATGCTCATTGGGATTTGACAAAAGCTGTAAGTTAAAACATTAGAAATTTTATATTAATTCGTATTCACTATTTTTTTATTATAGGATAGAATAGAACTCCCACCAGTGTTTATGATAAAAAAACCTTTTGAGCTACCCAAAACTGAAGAATGGATGAAATTAATTAAAGAAGAAGGAGAATTAATAGATGCCCGTGAAAAAAGAGATGCAGGTATTTTTAATTAATTTAATATCTTAATTTGTTTAACTTGTTTAATTGGTTTACACTGTTTAACGTGTTTAACTTTACGGTGTAAACTATCAGAATAACAATATATTGTTATTTTAAATGTTTAAAAAAAAAATTATAACATTTTTTACAACCGTGTATATATTAATATTGCATCGGTTAAACATGTTGGTTAATAATTAACTAAACATAGTACCAAACATTATAAAGCAGACATACCATTTAAATACAATTATTAATCATGTTACATTTATATTAAATAATTTATAGATATTATTTATATTACATAATAGATCAATTATTAGTATAATATTCTATAGTACAGATTAGTTATGCTTAATCCTTGTCACATGGGCCACATTTGGCACGAGCCCATTTTTTTAGTTGAAACAAAGTATACCTATAAAAAAATACAGTTTCTTCCAAGATATTTAAAATTTCCTTTTTTTATATAAATTATTAGTGGCCCTCACAATTGTTAAATTTTATTATTGTAGCACATCAACAGAGAAATTTATTATTCCCATACTGGCCATACTCAATCTTGTGAAATTTATGATGAATCTATATATCTTTTCAGTATTATATGATTAAGATTTAGCTCATTAATAATTTGATTTAGTTATTTTAGGTATTACCTAAATTAAAATTTGTATATTTTAAATGTTGTATTTAGTGATGTTACGAACTGTTCGATTTTCGAACCAAACCGAACCGAACTCGGGGTGTTCGGTTCGGTTCGAAAATCGAACTCAAAATTGCAAATAGTCGAACCGAACCAAATACCTAATAGTTCGGTTCGACAATCGATCCAGACTCCAGAGAATTTAAAAACAAGTCGACGATCGGACGATCCAACATTATTATTGTAATTAATAATAATTATTATTATTATTTAATATTTATTGCGTGTTTAGGCCGGCAGCGGCGCGCGGCGCGGCCATACCCCCATACCGGGCGTTTCACCGAGCTCACCGTGATACAACTTCACTACGCCAGGCGGTGCAGGGGGGTCTGGTTATGACTTATGAAAAACCCTAGATACAAAAATAGATTGTTTGGTTGTTTTCAATTTTAATATCTATGGCTTATTATTAATATCTTATCTAATATTATTGTATATAATATAATATAATACTTATGTATTTAATAAATATAATATATATATAAAATATATAATACATAAGTATTAATTATTAAATATTCAAGTACACTCATGATTTATGTTTAGAAAAAAAAATATTTAATATTTATTTATTTAATTATATAATTTAAAATTTGATACAAAATTTAAATCGAACTAAATACTATTTATAAAAATAAATTGTTATTTCCATTGTTTATACTTTTTATTATTTAATGTTTATTAATTAATAACTTTATATTTTATAAGTTAATCATTAGTTTATAGTAAATACTAAATACTAAATAGTAAACAATAAATGAATAATACATTTTTAACCTTTGGAATTTTTTTAATGTTCGGTTCAAGTTCGATAAAATATTTTGAAAAGTTCGGTTCGGTTCGAGTTCGATTAAAAATATGTAGGTTCGGATCTGTTCGAGTTCGTTAATTTAAAGAAGAGTTCGGTTCGGTTCGGTTCGACCTTAAAAATCAGGGTTCGTAACATCACTAGTTGTATTTAAATCTAGTTATATTTTATAGCTTGTAATTGTTTTTATTTATGCGAGACTCAGTTATATAATAATCAAGCATAATATAGACACTGTTTAAATAAAACCTACATTAAATTAGTGATCAGCTTAATCTATGAATATGGTACTGTTTAAACAAGTGTTTAAATTAATTAAAATTTTAGAATTTAAAATGTATAATCACACTATTCTTTATTTTTTTAATAATTAATAATTAAGTTATTTTTAATAAGAATGTTGTACAAATAATATTTTAACTCACTGTTTATATTTGTTGGAATACATTTTTTTTTATTTGATAATATTGCAATTTCATAAACTCATCTTGTAATCTCTTATTATATATTATAAATTGATATAAATAGTGAAACTTCTATTTAACAAAGTATTTTTAAGAATCAAACCTAATTAGAACCAAATTTATTTAATTCTATTTACCAAATTTCTTTATACAAAATTTTTTTTTTGGTACTATGTCAGACTTGGTATTATGACCCCATATAATAGATTTATTTTTCACTCTGCTATATTTTACCTTAAATAAAAAAGGTATTCAATTATTGCTATAAGATAGGAATCCTGTTTATTATGTAAACATACTTATATACTTAAGCACTAACAGTAACAGTGTTTATATATTTTAATTATTATTTATTTTTGCGTCATCTGAGCTTTGTTAAGTAATTAAATCACACTATCATGTTTATATTGTTTGTTATTTATAATGTGTGTTTTTTATTAATGATATATTACCTAATTTACTGCTCAAAGCAATTAAATTGTATATAATATTATATTGATTCTATTTAGATGGAATTTGGTGGAACCCTGACCCTCTGCCCTTTGGGTTGTGAAGTTTTTACTGATTATATAATTATATACATAATTTATTTATTATTTATTAATTTGAGTATATAATTATATATAGTTAAAATATTCACAATTACAATGTTATAATAGTATATTAGGTATAGACATATTATAAAGACAAAGAATTATTAAATTTATTTATAATAATTATATACTTAAGAAAAATAGTTTTTATACTCTGTATAACGAGAATGGGTCAGCTCTGCGCATCCCTCTCCAAATTCTCGATAGGTGGCGCGTGATTATATTGTGACTGCTCAGCGTTGATAGCAGCCGATTACAATTGTCTTGTGCACTGCGATCTGGGATCACCAGTGACATTTGGCCGCATGAAGGGTGGATTCGACGGCATAGTTGGTCAACAGAGCTCATTCTACATGAACAGAACCAGCATTTTCTCTCGTGGAATAAATTATAATCATAATTTAAAAGGACGGTACACCCGCATGCATTATCTCCGTCTTATAAATGCACAAAATAGCAAAAACTGTTAAGCGCGGGACAACTATGCTCCCTCTGTACTTGTAGTAGAATTACCAAAATTCCACAACCCATGAGGAAAAACTTTATCTGTGTCGTAGCTTTTTTGTTTTTTTGATAGCTCTTACCAATAATTTTTAATAACAAAAAAAAAAACTGACTTTAATTGTATTTAGGTATGTTATGCAAATAATAAAAAACACTACTACACAAATAAAATTCTTCCCTATGTGTTGTGGAATTTTTTTAATTTTACCATAAATACAAAGGTAGCATTGATAGTTGTCCCACTGTATTCTTATTTTTATTATTTTAAACTATACTATTATTTCTCTGCTTATATTAATAAAATTAAGTTTTGTATAATATTTAAATGGTATGTCTGTAACCAAGTACATGAAATAAACATTTAAATGTCTTAATTTTTCATATATACATGTGTATTTATGTTATCTAATTATATTTTATTTTTGGTGAGACAAGATAATTGTTAACTTCATATTTTATACTATATGTATATAATAAATACTAATTCTCATGCCTCATCCTTTATCAATGTAAAACCTTTTTTAATTGGTTACCTACTGATTGGTTTAATAATGTGTATTTAGAGGCTAAGAAGCAAGCAAGGAAAGCAAGGAAAGCAAGGAAAGCTGCAACCAGTGAAGTGGATTTAACAACATTAAAGAATGTTACGATAATGGTGGACAGATTGGACGATAATTTGTTTGCTCATCTTTTGAAAAAAATAAAAAAATAATAATATTAAATTGAGAGAAAACAATATAAAATTGGCTCAATTGTTTTCATACTGTGTACCTACTTCCTAGTTCCTCAAATGCAAATCCACATTCTAATACAATTTATTTAGTTACTGGTAATAGTTTGCATGGAAACAATATTAAAGATAATTCCTCAGTCCTCTGACCTCTACTAATTCACTAAAGAAATCTAAATTTATATTTTCAAGTTCAAATAAACATTAATTGAAAATTAAAGTGTGGTACATTGGTCCAGTAGATGTAAATCAACCCGAGCTACATATTTTTACTAGATCAACTAATTGTTCTACATTCATTAAAATATAATTTGGATACTGATGTAAATAATGTCAGTTCAAATATTGTTTTTATAAAAGATCTTTTTTAATTATAAAATTGCTTACATTTTTTTGCATCTAAAAAATCATCAACATTTAAAATTAGTGATTTAAAAATGACTAAAGAACTAAAACATAATAATGTTATTATTTCTGAAAAACCAAAAAGTAAAAAAAAAAGTCTTATGAAATGAGGGCTCAGTCAGTGAGTTCTAAAAATATCACTTAAGCAATGAAGAAAAAAGTTCAGTAAATGTCATAAGTATCTAATTTAAAGTTCAGAAATTATTTATGCCTGATATTAAGAAAACCGAGTCTATTGAAATTTCTACTAAACTAAAAATATCGGATTTAAAACAATGAATTGTTTGTTTTATACTGTTATCTGATATAAAATAAAACCACTTATTAAACCTGAAAGAAAACAAGAATACCAGTAAGTTGACATAAATAGAAGACAATTCCAAACTTCTCATCAACCCTGAACCAAGTAACATCTTCAAACTCATACAGTTCCTATCAGAAACTCGCCGTATAAGTTATAAATAAATTGTAATATTAAAGGAATTTGAGGGAAAATTTTTTAGTTTAACAATCTGCCTTCTGTCAGTTATGTAAGAAATCAACCACGACAAAAAAGGGTCACGAATACCAATAGAATGCAGCTTATTTGAAAGGATATGGTGATTTAATTTATCAAAAACCTTTTCAAAGTCTAAAAATTACATCTACTTGATATCCAAGAGCAAATTCATCTAGTATATATTTTTGAAAAATTAAAAGATTTGTCGTTGTTGATTTACCTTTCAAAAAACTATGTTGATCATCATTTATTAGAGACCTAAGTATTGGATATATTTTTTCAGATACGATGGATTCAAATAATTTGGGAATAATTGAAGTAATAGAAATAGGCTGACAATTAATTATATTAGTTGAATCTTTTCCTTTATTAATAAGCTTTACAAAACTTATTTTCCAATTTGATGGTTTATGATGGTCAATTTTTGATTATGAGCGAATTTTGATTTTAAAATGATTTGTTTTTTTATTTTAGATTCTGAGTGAAACAATGAATGTATTGATTTTACAATGATGTGTGTTTTTTTTTAATTTTTAATTTTTTTTTTGTGTCTGTCATCACCTTTTAGGACAGTAAAAGTGCTGGATTTTCTTCAACTGTATCTTTTCTGTTAGGAATGTGAATCTAGTTGGTACTTTGGGGGGTCAAAAGTAAAATTTTTCCAGTAGTTTTCAAACGCACTGCGAAAAACTAAAGAAAAAATCGATTTTGGTTTTTTGTGTAACTCTAAAACAAATGACCGTAGATGCATGAAATTTTTACTGAATGTTTATACATTCATACACGTTTATACATGTATTAGCATTTTCTATACACCATGCCTGTTTTAAAATATTTTGACTTATTTTGAGCTGTTAGGGACATTTTCAGAATCCAATTTTTTTAGTTTTTTATTCTATGAATGTCAATGAAACTTTATTTATTAGATAAAAAAAGCTTGAAAATGTAATACAAAGCTCCTATTATGTTGTTACAATGGTGTTTGAAAAATATTAAAAATCTTTATTCACAGTTTTTTTTATAAAAGTATTTAAAGTTCAAATATGGAAAAAATACGAAATCTTCAAATTATTTTTAGTTAGAAATTCATAACAAATTTTCTTTTGAGATCTAACATTTGAAAATATAATACAAGATTTTTCATAAGCTTGTCTATCTTTATCAAAAATAAATGTCTACCGGAAAATTAAATTAAATTTTTATGAGCATTTTAAATTCATATGTTTACAAAAGTTGTTATTCACTCGGTTTCTAATGTAACGATTTTCTTATTTTGATATAATTCTAAAACGAAAAACCAGTTGATTGGTTAAATTATTACACCATATCAATGATCCAAACTCTAAGTTTGATCTAACAAGGGAGCAATAGAACGTTATAATTTTAACTTATCCATATTTCAATTTCATTTTACATTTTTTGAGTACTTATTATACAAACCTTTTTTATGCTCTGTGTACACCTATAAGTCTATTACATGGCTAAGCTAAACAAATTAATACTCTTTAGTACCACTTTAATACTTTCTGAAGTCTGCAGAAATATTTTTTGAATACACTGATTTTGCACTGATTAAACATACAATAAGTATTATATCCTGTAGTCTATAGGTACCTAATTAAGTATTTTATTGTGTTTATTGCAATAATTCTGAGCTGAGGTGAAGACTGAATCAAGAATTTTATATAGTCAAAGTTTCTATACATTATTGTTTTTTAATTTTTAATTTATGTTATAAAAAAATGTAGATTAAGAATATAATCAACATATCAAAATATATAATGTTTATTAATTGAAATTTATTGTGGAAGAAAAAATAGATACTAATAGGACACTTTTTAGTAATATGTAAAACGATTATGACACATGGTACCTAGGACAATTTTTATCTAGGAAACGTGCTTATAACAGTTATGAGAACCACTATTTAATACCTATATTATCATTATTATCAACATTTCAATCACATATCTATCATTATGTGACTTAATAATGTACATGTACAGTATATTTCATAAAAATATATGTTTTTGATATTCAGTGTAAAGTTGCATAACATGTGTGATATTTTTTTTAAAGTGTTGTTCAGTATGTAAGCCCCTAGTTTGTGTGCTCCTTATAATATTTAAACTTAAAAGCTGCAAGTACCTATACCTAATATTAAAATTTACCAACTTCAATTCTTCTACATACTCTACTAATAGCCATATAGGTAACTATATGCTGCAGTATTTATAATGTAAAAATATTAAAGATAATTATAACTTACTGTAACAGGGATAAATTGATTAATAAAAGTTTTCCAAATAAGTAGGTACTACACACAATTATAGGAGCTGCTATATACACAAAATTTGATGATAAAATTACTATTTTATATTATAAATCACAAAAACAATAATGATGTGTGTGTATGTTTGTGTGGGTGACGGATAGGTCGGCTAGGTTGGCGAGTGAATTTGTGGTGTGTGGAGGCAATTACTCGTTGCCTCTATTTATAATATTATACTTAATTTAATTATAATAATACTTATTTTAAATTTCAATCAATATTTTATAGTTATAGTAATTGTATAGCAGTTGTAAGAAACAATGTCCCAACCCATTAAATGTATAAACATAATAATATGGAAAACAGTGCAAACGCATTAAATTCACAGCCCTGTTTACCACATTTTTCAATATTTATATGTACCTATGTTGCGAATTTATCTCAAAAACGGTTTCTGGTAAACCATGATTTACGCTGCTGATTAAGTACCTAATAAAAAGATTGTTATTATACTTAGAAAATTATTGTTTTTATTTCCATGCAATCATGCAAACATGAATTATATTATATATTAATTAATAATTATAAATAATCTTATTTGTGATCAATGATAGTGGGTAGAATGTAGAATACCTAATTTAGATTTACGTAGGTATATAAGTATTTACTTCGATATTTTCTACTTTATTTAATTATAATATTTTCTGCTTTTGAAGTATTTCTTATATATTGAAATTATTTTACTATTAAAACAATGGTAAATTATATTCCAGTTTGAAATATTTAAAACATTGGTAAACATTAAATATTATTAAATAGAATATTAAATAAGTTCAATCTTCAAACTACTAGTTATCTAATTCCGTGTCACCGCATACCATTAGTGATATCACGTTACAGTGCGATATTTTTAATTTTATTATTATAATAGAAAATAGACATATTGAATTAAAAATAAAAAAATTTAAGTGGTCTTATTTAACCAAAATTACAGCGGCCAGCGCCCCACCGGGGTGTGCCCCGGTCGTCTAGTCCAACCCTGGGCTCATAGCATGTTCTATAAAAATTTTATTTTATTCTACTATAATACTAGTATACTCTTTTCTTGATGTTCCATACTAAATTCCAGTAGCCAGTACGTTAAAACCAAAAGTTTAATGCACTTTGAGTCAATTTGTTAAATTTGTGTCAAACATGTGATACATTTTTAAACTCAGTAATATAATAAATTATTAACTAGCAATATTATGTATACTAGACTAAATTTTTCCTTAAAACTCAATAACAACATATGACAAGGAAATTATTATTTAATTGAAGCAGGCAACTTATTTTCAGTCTCAAACATGTTATACCAGATGGTGTAAATGATAATAGTTTTAATCACAGATTGCTTACTACACTTAAGCTCATGCTATAAATAACAAGGTATTATAGGTTTTTTTTACGGTCATAATGTAGTATCCTTTGGTAGGCACGTTACGTAGCGTAGCATACCTGCATACGGTAATAATATGAGTAATCAATTGGCGTGTTGTTGCGTGGACCTTTACAATCATACCATGTTGTTTTTCATGATTATGCTGGATTGTAAACTAAACTGATTTACTTAAATCATTAAATGATTCACTAAAATGTAATAAACCAACACTAGGCTATTAAAACATGTTTAAGGAACCATAAGTACAATTGATTCAGTGATTATTAATTATGAAACTCGGAGGGTATTTGAATTTAAAATATTGTTTTATTTATAAAAACAAGTTTAAACATTCAAAATAATTTAAATACCTTAATATTGACTGATTACGACATATATTATAAAAATTATTAGTTATATAAACATTAGTATTATTTTAATTTCGATATAAAAACATGTAAATTAATATGATAAATTTAATTAAAAAAGTTATACTTTTAAAAGATGTATTTCAATATTCAGTGTATAAATTGTATATTAATTATAATATTTATAGTGATGAAAATAAACAAGTTTTATCAAAAAGAATCATTGTATTTTAATTAATAAACTTATAAAATACCTATACATATTTATTTAAAATAATATTTTCTTACTCAACATAAAATTACAATTTTTTTTTAATTATATAAAAACAGCAGTCATAGTCAATTCAGTCAGGAATCATGTTGAAATTTTATTAATTTTCAAATAAAAATTAATGTATTGAAAATACTATCCATTAAACAATAGAAGCAAATATATCTTGATTAACATTTTTGTTTTGACGATCTAAAGTTTTTCTGTTTGTAATACTATTATCCATACACATCCAAGTTTGTTTATCGATCTGTTTCCAAAGTTGTACAGCATAACTGTTCATTGTAACAGATAACATAGTTCCAAAACGAGAAAAACTAACTTTTTGTTTTTGCATGTTATCGGGGTCAATTTCTGTTTGTGCCCAATCAAAACAATCATCACTTCCCCATACAAATACTCTACCATTCGAGGCACAGCTAGCAATTACATGATTGTACAGACCAGGAGTTGGACTCCAACTTATGTCCTTGATAGTAGATAATTGATTGTCTGATTCATACTTAACGTTCCACATACCTATTTGACCTTGCCATATTTTGATCTTATTGTCATTTCCTCCGCTAACTAATAGCAAATTATTATTGAATAATTCATTCGACCAACTGATGCAGTTAACTCCATTTACATGAGCATTAGGGATCTTTGATACAGACCAATCATTATTATTTAGAGCATGTATTGAAATAGTACCATCAACACTTGAACAAGCTATGATTGCTCCAGATTTATACGGCGCCCAATCTATTGAAGTCGCTGATGATTTGTGTCCATCATATTGATAAACAACCTTCCACTCACCCTTGTCATTAGTTGTACGTACAATTAATTTACAATCTGATCCACACGAAGCTAAAAATCCAAATTTTGGATGTGAAAACCTTACTTGCCATACAGGACCAACGTGTTCTTGTAATTGTATCACCGGTGCATACACGTCTGGTTTGTCACTATCGATAATTTGAATAACGCCATCCGTAGAACTAGTACAAACATATTTATTGTAATAATCAATATCCGTTGAAAGAATTTGTCCCTTGTGGATGGTTTCGAATGAACTGGCAACTGACAACATGTTTCTGACGAAGACACTATTAACACGTCCGACGTGAACAACACACTACAGGTCACAAGACCGCGGCACTGTGGTAACTTCACAGGACAGACAGACGAGTCGAGTACGGCACTAAGACGGTACAGCCCGGTAAATGTAAACAGCACAGCAGCGACTCGCGTTACTCGACGAAGTCGGACTCCAAAAAATCGTTTTTTAGTAATGCCGCGACATTATCATTGTAATGTTGATTAGTAGTTTTTGATTACCCACGTTAGTTTTTCTTTTTATGATAACGCCTGCTATTTAAGGGGCTTGTATAGGCAATTTTAAAAACGCTTTTTAGTGGAACAGACGGTGTCGAGTCGCGTGTTTTTTCGTCGAGTCATGGTGTTCGTTGGTCGTAAACTCGTAATCATAACAATAGATAATTTCCCGCCTTTTTTTTTTTAAATTTTAAATTTTTTTTACACAATCTGTTCGAATAAATGTAGAACAACAATAATTGAATGACATGATGAAAAAAAAATAAAAAAATATAGGATTCACAGAATGAAGAAACCTCCCAGAAGAGGAACTTCGAAAATTATATTATTATATTTCCGCCTGATAAATACCTACCATAGATAATAATATTATATTTTGAGCTGATACAGTGACACATAATATGACAATAATAAGATATTTAATTTATACAATAAATTATTGAAAATTATGAATTAATCCTAGTTATGAATGTTGTTAATCTATTATTCTTTTTTTTTTAATAATTAATTTAATTTAATTTAAATATGCTCATTACTACATTAGTTATTAATACAATATGAGTATATTATATCTGATAGAAGACTGTCAATCTATAATATATTACTAAGCCAGGATGGGTAGGGTTCAACCCCCCCTAGTCACTTGACAAATATATATGTACTAAGTACTTACATGTAATTTTAATTATTATATTTCCCATTTTTGAATTAGGCAATTTGCCCTGATTAAAATTTGAACACTCCTCCCCACCATTCAAAATTCCCAAGCTTATGTTAGTAAGTATAGTTCATGATATTATTGCTATGAAAATAATTTATTTTACTAGTATAGAAAAATGCAGTAGGTTGTATTATGTTTTCCAAAAACATTGTATTTGACAATGCCGTTGTGTGTATAAAATATAAAATATAATAATATGTATAGGTACTTCAAATGTTTCAAGTACCTACCTAGGTACCTACAAATAATATTTTTAAATTACAACAAAGAAACTAAAATTGTTGTTATTCGTTTAAATACCTAGTCTTGTCCAAATTTGAACTTAAAATATATATCTACAGTGACAATACTAGGATGGCTAGGGGGCTTAGCCCCTGACTATGATTTAGCCCCCTAAATTATTCTTTATTGATTTAGAATTTAGATCCTAACCTAACCTATGGGTTATTTTAAATTAATAGTTTTGTTAGGGGGGTTGTTGTAGCCCGCAGAACTTTAACCCTATAGTTGCATCTCTATGGATAGGTATCTATTAAAAAATTGTGTTAATATATATTTTAGTTTATTAGGTTATAATAATATAATATAAACTACTTATGAGAAACTCTGATTACAATTTTCAATCTTTACAGCTTAAAAAAATGAACATAATATTATTACACATTTTGAAGTTTTAACTATAAAATAATTTGCAAATTTTTTGGTTTTCTCAAAACTTTGTATGTTTATAAAAAATATCATGCCTACCTATGTACCTATCTTTATTCTTTAATGCGTTTGAATTGCTATAAAAACAACTTGTGAGTAACCTTGTATTCAATTTTCAAGTTTTTTTAAGTCAACAAATAATAAAAGATAAATTGTTCAAAAAGAGTAAAAATGTTTTGAAAATTATATTTGTGAAAAATGATCATATATAGACAAAAACATTGGGTGGCAATTTTCAAGAAGTATTAACGGTTATTGGTTTTTGAGTAGTACCAAAGAGCCATAAAAATGTGGAGCTTAAAAAAGTTTGACAAGCTTACAGTTGAAAATTTAATATAAAGAATAACTTCACAATTTCTATTTACATCTAATCAAAATGTATCAAAACTTTACATACCTATATGCTACATATTATAGTATATAGTCACATTTTTTTTATAAATATTAGAATATAAAATGTCAACAGGTAAAATACTTAAATACAGTACATTTCTGTTATTGCGACTACTTAAAAGTTAAAAGTACTCAAGTACCCTTAAATAATAATGTAATTTAAAAACTAAGTTAAGAAAACATTTATGAAATATGTAAAAAATTGTAATTAACTCCTTAGTCAGCTTGTATCAGTGAACCAATTACAATTATTTTGTAATAGAGAAAAATACTAGGTAAAATGATTTTGTTAGATTTGGTGATAGTGTGCCACGATGAGTATAAAACAACAGATTCAATAAAGTGATTACCTAAATATTTTAATTGTGTGTGGGAGTGTGTGTGTTTATTACTTATTAGTTATTAGTAGATTTTAACTACTACCTAGACGTTGTAATTAATTTACAAATTTGCGTAAACAAAAATATTTTGGAAATTGCATTGTCTATAGATATTAAATAATAATAATGCCTATCCGACAAGATTCAAGGCCTTAAATTATAAGTTATAACTAGGGCTCGGATTTTAAAACATAATAAATAACAAAAAAAGCACAAAATTGTTTTAAAAAAGCAAAAATGAAGCATATTTATTTTTTTAAAAAGCAAAAAAAAGCATGACTAAAAATTAACATGAATTAGTTATAATTTTATAAAACTGAATAAAAAAAATTGTAAAATTAATTTAAATTAATAAAAGAATTTATTACCATGTATTTGGCACGAAAATGTTTATTATTTAGTTTATTCATTGGAATATTTACAGCTACCAATATTGAACATAAATCGGCATTAAAATCTGACTGACTACCCCTTACTAAACTGTTGTAAAAATGGTTGAAGTAATGCAGACTTTTCATTTTCGTGTCTTTTAACAGCTTGAACATGTTTTTCTCTCCGTACATGCTGTTGTATATTATATTTTTTTTCATGTGACACTTTTGTTTCACAAAGTTTGCAATCGATCCATCTGTTTGAAAAATTTCTTCACCAAATTCTAACACTAATTTTTTTAAAAATGCATTCGTTTTGACTTTTGGCATTTTAATAAATTACAACACTATGAAGCACTACATATAGAACTTAAATTTTAAACACGTCGATATCGATGTTATACGAGTACTGAGCTTAGGTTCTACAGACTATATATGCAATAGTCGATAAGCTATCGACCCATAAGCTATCTGTAGATCGATAATCTATACATTTAAGGACGTTTCGCACTAATGGTACGGTCACGGTCATTATTGCGGGTTTTCACATTTCTTATTAAGTAAATAAACATTTTTATTTTATTTTTATAGCATAACAGACATATAAAAATTCCACAGTTAGAATAACTGAAAAACAAAAAAAACATTTTCACAAAAAAAAGCAAAAATAAATTTGTTTATTTGGAGTCAGATTGACATGAAACGAATTTATGTATAAAAATTAGATTTCTATCTTAAATATATAAAAAGAAGTATTTCCTTTAAAATCCGAGCCCTAGTTATAACATATAAGTACCGAATTTCACCGACACTTATGGCTTGTAAATTGTAATAAAATAATAAAAATCATAAGGTATATCATAATCATTTTATTAATATTTTAATATTTTAATATCTATTTTTGTAAAAATTAGAAGCCTGTTTAGAATTTAAAAGTTTAAAATTTAAATGTTTTCGAATTCTCAACTGTAAAATAATTTACGCATTTTCGTGATTTTGGGGAATTTTGTAGAAGTTTAAATGATAATAAAAATAAAATTGTCCCTGTATTTTAGATTATGAGTGTAGCGATAAATGTAATATTATGGCCATTGGGTTTGCAATGGTGTGTACGTAGTTGTGTGTCTGTGTGTACACTTTTCATAGAAGAAACTAGAAAGAATGCTACAATCTTAAACTTTGAGATAGGTTATTGAATTTAAATTTAACCCGTCCTAATATTTTACTTTGTAATACACACATTGGATTACACTGTGGCATATTTAACGACGAACACTCGACGACTATATTTTTACTATACAAGAGAGCGACTAACCCAGGTTTTTTTTAATTATAATAAATATAATATAATAATTATTGATATTATTTTACATGATTTTAACATTAACTCATGTATACGATGGTGAATGATTAAGGGCCGCTTTCACCAAATATTTTAAACTTCGATTACGCTTAATCGACTGATAACAGATATTTAACCGGGCAAATTCGGCCGATTAAACCCCGGTTTAACTTTAATCGGAGTTTAAAGTAGTGGTGAAAGCGGCCCTTAGGTATTTTAGTATTTATGGCGAATAAATAATTATTTAAATATTTTACACGCATTTGAACATTCCATTTAACATTACGCATCGCACACTCCGTTATGTGTAAGTATTATATTTTTATATTGGTAGTCTACATTATATGTCCACGTATGTCGGTCATAGCATCTTTTTTCGTCGACATGTTGGTTATTTTGCGTCCGAAAGTACCAGGATCTCATACCGCTGCGTTGCCGTATTCTCACAGACCCTATAGTATTCTGTATTTCTGTCATAGACGGCTCGCTGTCAAATAAAACTCGTCTGAATAGTATTGATGTAATAATATTGTGTATAGACAATATACGTATAGTCCGTATAGAATATATAGTGTTAGTCGTTAGTGTATCTACATTTATTATAGCAGAACAAAACTAAAAAAAAGCCATAATAGTTAGTAAAAATCAAATGTATATTAATATTATATTAAAATAAGTATCAATATGTTATTATGTACCTATGTAATACAAATAACATAAATAACTGTAATAATATTATCGTTATAAAATCAATAAATTATAATAATATGCATGTGCCTACCGCCTATGTTAGCAAAACATTTAATTATACTCAATATCCCAATTATATTTACTTGTCCAGGACATTTTTAAAATAAACATAAAATATTATTGGTTATTCAACATAGGTATTTTTAGTATAGGGGGATTATATGAAAGTACCCTATGTGACAGGTCATAAAAAAAAAAAAAAATGTTTTTTTGTAGGTAAGTGATACAAACTAATTTTAAATTGAATAACAAATAACAAAATGTATAATATTTTTATTATTTATTAATATTTATTATTATTACTAGAGAAATGTCCACGCCGAGTAGGTACATAATTGCAATTTTCCATGTAGTGACTAAATACTAAAATTGTAAATTTGTAAACTTATCTTATCAAAATACAATATAAAATGAACATTGTACATTTCATATTTATTCACATGATATCAAAACTTTATATAACGGTAAATTAATTAAAATGAGTTAGATTCAGAGCAAAACGCGAATGTTTTTACTTTGAGTTATATCATCACGTTTGGAGCAACATATATTTACTTAAATATTCTGCATCGAGGCTGGTTGCTGGTAATAAATATGGCATACTTGATAATTCAGTTGTAAATTAAAAGTAAAAACCGGTAGATACCTACTTGATACTTTTTTTTGGTGGGAAAGGGGAGTAACAAATTTAACAAATTAAATTGTGTTAAATTGTGTGTGGTTTTTATTGAAATATACATTCTATTCCATTTTTACAACACTAATTATATAAATTAAAATAGGTACCAATGCAAATTGTATTTTAATTAAATAATATATACCTATCATAAATATGAATCAGAGTATATATTTATATATATACATAAGTAAACTTACTACCTAGTACCTACTATATATAAGTAACTTTATTAACTAAGTGTTATTTGTTGTTAATACATATTTTAATATATACAAAAATAGTATTTTTATTTTTTACTATAAGTAATTTTTTAGGAGAATGATATTATATAATATATACAGATTTATTATACTACAAACGTACTATATTATATTTTATACACAAAAGTGGGAAAGTTAATGAAAATAATTAACTCAAGTTAAGTTAAGTTAAGAGGACACAAGATCGATAAGTTAAAAGTTAACAGTTAACAACTTATAAATTTAAATCGATAAGTTAAAAGTTAATATAGAAAAAAAAATTGACTTAACTCAGTTTAAAAAAAGTTAATCTATTTTTTTTAAATTAGTATGTAAATCACATAAAGACCAAAGAGTGAATGTGTCTTTCTAGTTTCTAATTTATAAATTATAAAAAACAATTGTATTGAACTTTTATCATAATGTACACTGTATACCATTTTACTTTTACTTTACTATTATTTACTAATTTAAACTATAGGTACTCATCTCAAATTAATAAATTTAACAAATATATTTTTTTTTATATCGTATAGCAACTGAATGTCCATAATACGTGAAGATGAGTACATGACCTTCATATATATTATAAGATATAAAACATTAAAACATAACAATTGTCAATTTGTAATTTAAAATTATTAATTTTATTAAAAACATTTATAATTGCAACTCGCATAATATATAATTTACAACTTAATAAAATATATTAATATACACAAAATTATGGTAATCAAGAAAAAGAACAGAAATGTTTGTGTTTTAGACACTTTTTGTATTGGATTTTTTTTATTTTATACTGATATAGTAATATTTAAGTATAAATGAAAAATTTCAAAATATTTTCAACTTGATGGGGTTTTTTTTAAATCAACTGAGAAAAGTTAAGTTATTTCAACTGTAAATTAAACCAGCTAAGTTCATAAGTTGATTAGAAAATAAACTAACTAGTTAAGTTAAAAAGTTAAAAACAAAATTAACTTTTTAGCTAAACTTCAACTTTTTAACTAGTTAATGCCCACCTTTGATTATACACTAAATTATACAGAAACACTGAAACATTGCAACAGTAACAGTATTATAATTATTTATAATAATATTAATTCAGACAATTTTTATAATTTTATTCAACCGGGTTAGAATCGGTGTAGCTCGAGTGCGCGACATAGCTGTATGGGATCCTGGTTATTTCGGAGGAAAAACAACCGACTGCACTAAAATGAACACAATAAAAAAATACTACTGCGTGGACTATTACTATTACTATTACTATCACACCGAGGTCGAACGCCAGAGCGGGCGCGCAGCAGAAATAATCTGCGTTCGATGTTAGAATGTTAGATGGAATGTTTACAATGTTTACATGCGTCGTGAATCATATATTATATTATATATTATAATCTTTACTAATATTCATTATTCTTATTAATATTCAAATATTATCTATTAAAACCGCTGGTCTATAAAGTGGCGTGAGATTATCCCGAACTGGAATAGGTAATGAAACATGAAACATAATATGGTAAAAAAATCTCGTGGAACTTTTTTTAAAATTTTTTGAATTTCCTTCATAATATATGAAAATTATTCATCATAAACATTATTTATTATATTCCCATTTCCCACCCACTTCAGTAATCAAGTTAAAGTTAAAATCTTGTGAATTGCGTCGATTTAAAAGAAATTTAATCGTGTTTCGGTAATATTTGTATTAATTAACAATAAAAAAAAAATACATGAAACAAAATACCTAACCTTACCTATGCACACTGCAAATGTATAGTATTAATAAATAATAGTACGGAATGTTAAACTAATTTTTGTCAAAAACATCGCATATATTATGTTTTTTAACATTAATTATAATAAAAATATTGTATGTTACTTGTTTAGAGTACTTTGAGTGTTAAAACTAAAAAAGATGGTTAGTGGATGTCGCTCTGCTGTACAGTAGGTTACAAGCAGTGACGTAGTCAGGAATTTAGTTTGGGGGGGGGGCTAAGTATACAAATACAATAGATGTGTCTTTTATTTACACTTTTTATTTTTGTATTAATCTTGATAAAATTCTAAGGTCAACACAGTCAATGATTACAAATGGGTAACTGTAATGGATGGTATCTATCTATTAAATTTCAATTCAATGGTTTAATATCCTTATATACGAAAAACAAGTCTGAGCTGAGACGGTTTGTCAGCCAAAGATATTTTATATTATATTGATATTATTATTATTAATACGGTAGTCGGTAAATTAAATAAATATTATTTGTATATAACAATAATATACACCTTGAGAAAGACGAAGGTTCGGTTTTTGACAACATTTATCAAATTTAAAATACCAAATAATATAAATATTTATTTATATAATGTATCTTAAGATCATTCAAATACAGACATGCATTCGGATTCTTTAATGGAATACATTTTGGTGAACTACCGATGGGTGTTTGTAGTATTCTTCCTCCTACCATGCACTCTGATAGGAAAAGTGTGGGCCACCTTCGAAAAAAGCTTATGGTCACGCCGCCGTCATACCGGACTTGACCACCAAAAAAAAGTTGAAAACATTCAGCTCGAGGTGAATACATATCATATATATATATTGCATTATATTATAATACTATCTAATTAAAAAAAAAACCTATTAATACTACTACCTATCTACTTATTAAATGCCGATTGACTTTTAACTGTTTATATTTCCTCCCCCCACGCAGATACGGCATAGAAATGTATACGCTCCCAACCGTGTGATGTGTACGGCCAGACCTAGTTGGAGGAGTATGACTCTGGCTGAAATGACGTACAAGAAATGCATGTTCAACATAAACGTCCATTTGGATGAGATGATTTCTATCGATAGTCACAATCGGGTAAGCGATTATAGTATAGGTATTTAAGTGGTATGGCCAATCATGATTCATGGCCATGAATATTATTGAATTATAATCATCGAAATCATGCCTTTTATTTCAATATAATGGTTATTCTCCAGTCTACTGTGTCGGTCATCTTATATACTGCAGGTATCATCATACACCTATAGGTGCATGCAATATTATGCTTATCTACATGTATAATTAAAGAGACTTAAATACTTAATGAGATGTTAGAAATTATATTGAAGATCAACAGTAGATACAAGATACCTAACTATTTATTATTATTTATTGACATTTACATTATTATTATAATTATAGCATGAGATTATACAAAAATGTTAGAATTAAAAATCTTTAATCAGTCACTTGGCCACCCAACTTATTACTTAGCTCAAACAAATCTCAAATATTATTATAATAATATATTATAGGTAGGTATCTACGCATCGTACAAAGTCAGTACTCACTACTCGGTAGACACGAGCATACGACATATTTATAGGTATAGATACCTTGACACCATTATATGTTATAGGCTGGTACCTAAAATATAAATTCTCATTTTAAAATTTTAAATTCTACATAATGATGAGTATACCTACTCATAGTATTGAGGGAGTACCTTATACCTAATACCTTTACCTTTAATATTACTGTTATGGTTTATAATATGATGATTGGTGATTACTGATTATAGTGATGTGTGTGTCTATCACCTATCAGTCATCACTCATCGTCTTTATTTGAGGAAGTAAAAAATTATTAGATATCTTCTACTTTGAAGATGGATTCAGGTAGGAAAAATGTTGTATATTTGAATGCAAATACAAATATATTTTTTTAAATTGTAGGTATACTATTTATAATACCTATACCTATGCATAATATTAGTATACCTATTATGCATAGGCGTAGTGTGATGAATTTATATAGGCGGGGATATAGCCTATTCGATTTCTGATACACGACATTAATTCTAAAAATGTAACTAAAAAAAAAATACGGAATTGGGTGGGCTAAACAAAATTCCAAGGGGTCTAAGCCCACATAGATCCCCCAATTCTACGCCTATGCTATTATGTTAGGTACTACTTTAACAATTTTAACGATTTCACCAATACTATAACATGCCTGTAAACACATGTTAACATACTTAAATATTTAATACGCATATATTTAAACTAATATTTAAATAATTAAATAACAAAACAATAAATAAAAGTCACTCTGCTGTACAGTAGGTTACAAGTGGGTCACTGTAATAATGGATGGTGTTAAATTTGAATTCAATGATATAATACCATTGTATAAGAAAAACGATTCTGAGCGAAAACGGTCAGTCAGGATACGATATTACAAAGTATACCTATTTGATGATATTATTATGAATAAAAGTAATTTATATATTTACCTATTTACGTGGACCCTTGTTTTAAATTTTCAATCCTTAACCATAAAAGTTGAACATTTTATAAATTTTTAACTAGAAAATAATTATTAAATTTTAAATTTAATACATTTTGTCAAAATTCGAACTTTAAATGCTTATAAAAAAAAATGTGCCTATGTATTTTTAATATTTTTCCACTGATATTGTAACAATATATCAGGAGCCTTGCATTCAATTTTCACGATTTTTTACCCAACATATAACATTTTATTGATATTTATAGAAAAAAAAACTAAAAAATGTAAAACTGACAATGTCCGTAAACAGCTCAAAAAGAGTCAAATTATTTCAAAATTGTATGGTGTTTAAAAAATGCTAATATAAACATTCAGTGAAATTTTCAAGTATTCCCGTCATTCATTTTGAATACATAAATAACAAAACCGCTTATGAAATCGAGTGATATCCAATCGTAAAATTGAAATCACTCTCTAAATTAATTGCTTCTTCACATTTTTTTTTTTGATAAAGGTTAATTAAATCATCTTGAACTAAATCTAGATTAAAAAAATAAACAAAAATCGAATTTTCGTCATTTTTACATATTTTGTCAATATTGAACTTTAATGCTAAGAAAAAAAGGTGACTATGATTTCAGTCAAATTTCATGTACCTATACTATCATTTGTTTAAGAGTTGCACCAAAAACCAAAATTGATTTTCTCGAAAACAGATTTTGCGTAAAAATTCCCGTTTTTCCTTAATTTTTCTTTTGTTTTTCACGGCGCTTTTACTTTTGACCCCCCCCCCCCAAAGTACCAACTAGATTCACTTTCCTATCAGAAAAGATACTGTTGAAGAAAATCCAAGCACTTTTACTGTCCTAAAAGGTGATGACAGACACAAAAAAAAAACACACATCATTGTAAAATCAATACATTCATCATTCCACTCAGAATCTTAACTATTGATATTGAACTAGTTTAAAATTATTATTTGGTTTTTTTTTCAATTTTAAACATTGTTATTTACTATTTTACTACACAAAATATTTTCTGTTTTTATAAATTGATTACCTACCATTAACTTAATGTTGGTTTTTTGCAAAAATTCTTTTATAATATAGTCTAGACAGTGAGATTTTTAGACATATTTAGACAGATAATAATTTAGCATAATTTTACTTTATATATAACACAAGTATAAAGTTTAAATTATGATATTTTATTATAGTAGTAGCAGTATCTTATTTCGTCTAGTGGTTTTACAATGGTGTTTATTATTTTTTTTTTTATATATCCTGTATACAAAATTGTGTGCTTCGATTTCAACATATAGTACCTACTTTATCTTTGATCAAATTGGATCAATATGGTACTTTAGAGAGGTAATTTTTCGATTTTATCAAAAATTATTTAATTCTATGGGAAAAACCACCGAAAAATTACGAAAAACCGCTAAAAATGGGATTTTCATTTCTAACGCTTTGTTTATCACCATAGAAACGAATAAAAAATTATAATATTAGGTAATTCAACATAAAGACTATAATAAATAATTAAAATTTAAAAAATCCAGACTGATAAACCATCTTCCCTCAGAATCGCTTTTCTTATACAACGATATTATATCATTGAATTCAAGTATCAAGTTTAATACAACCCATTATACATTGACCCACTCGTAATCTACTGTAGGTACAGCAGAGTGATATCCACTTACCCGCCTTTTACAAGTATACAATTCAAAAATAAATAACTATTTAAAAAAAATAATACCAACAGTAAACGATGTCAAATACTGAAATACTGTACGCATTATCTAATATTGTATTAGTTATTGCTAGTTATTATACAGAATAATATTAATATTATAGTTATCTACCTAATAAGTAATACCTAATAAATAATTTGGTATAATACTATATTTCAGTAATTGTATAAATTATATTCTGTGAAACTATATGATCTATACTATATGTATTATTACTTTTTTCTAAATAACAATGCCTAAAATTATTCATCGAATAAATTACTCACGGAGAAGTATTTGAGCCAACAATAATGAATTGAAAATTATTATGATTATATTTCCAATATCGTTTCAACAAAAACAATATTATTTTTATTGATAGTTAAATTTTTGTGAAAAATAATTAATAAAACGGACTCTTTGGTATTTAAATTTTGTTAAAAATACTTTTAAAAAATATTTACAATACACAAAAAATACTTTAAAAATTGTATTTAAATAAAAGTATTCAAATAACTTGTATTCGGATGATTTACAAGACTGATTATTTATATGCACCCTCGTGATGGGCTAGATATATATATAATGTTTGTTATTTTTAATTATTATTATTAATATATTTATAGACAGTCAGGGTCGAACCGAGTATTACAGTGGGCCAATTAATTCCAATATTAATCCAATCCGGGTGGACAGTACCCGTGGCCTTGGAATTAGAAGACTTGACTATAGGTATATCGTATATAATATATATATATATATACATGCATAATATAATGATCACGGCTAGAAATAATATAACGGTTATAATATGAGTGGTATGTATCATAGTATTAATATTATGTTATTCGTCGTTTAGGAGGACTAGTTATGGGCATTGGATTGGAATCTTCGTCTTTTAAGTTTGGGTTGTTTCATAAGACATGTACGCGATACGAACTCATTACAGCCGACGGTGATTTGATCACATGTTCAGAGGTAACAGTATATAATTTCCTATGATTTCATAGGTTATTTACATATACGATGTATAGTACTATAGTATATATATATTATGTCGTATGGAAAATGATTTAACGTGTGCTTAACCTATCGGTTATTATTATAAATTATAATATATTGCTATATTGCAGGCAGAGAATCCAGACGTTTTTGAAAGTATTCCATTTTCGTATGGTACACTAGGATTTTTGACAGCCATCGACATCACCATAATACCGGCAAAAAAGTACGTATAAAACATTGGATCCAATCAATTACGAATAAAAAAAACTACACTTATATAACACCTACTGGTGGCTATAGGTTCTATGGCTTATGTTGCCCGTTTTGGGTACCTATATTATACTTCTGGATAATATTATAGTTGATTATTACTTATCTGCAGTTAATAGAAATTTACTTCTATATGACTAAAAGACTTAGATAGTTAGATAAAGTGGTGGATCCTCAGTCCTCAGAATAATAATTATACTCGGGAGCAGTGGCGTAAACTGGGTGGTGCAAATGCAGCACTGGCACCACCACATCTAAAATGTGGTGGTGCAAAGGTATGTTTTTGCACCACCAGAAAATCATTGAAATATATAATATATAAAGAGGTACAAAATAGTTATTTTAGTACATGTATTAGACATTATCATTTAAATTATTACCCTATCTATATTCTAAAATATCGTACAACCCCCATAAATAGTTAGATTATTATCTATGGTAACCACTATCCACAGAATATTGTATTTTATTATGGCAGTATCACAGAATCACGATTAAAGATATTATATCTTTAATCGTGCACAGAATAGACGTATAATATGGTAAAATTATATTGCTATCAACATTCTACAAAATAGTGTGTTATCACTGGATCAATGTTCATTAAATTCTCAAAAGTCAAATGTCAGATGACAGCTAGACGTCGTATTGAATCAAATTTTAAAATTCTCTTCAGGTTTCATAAGCGCCAGGAAAAACAACATAAAAATTAAGGAAAAACAGGAATTTTTACCCGAAATCGGTTTTCGACAAAATCGATTTTGGTTTTTGACCAAACAAATGAACATATACATATATAATGGAAATATTCACTGGTTGGGTAAAAAAGCTTGGAAATTTAATACAAGGCTCCAACTATATTGTTAAAATGACATTAGAAAATTATTAAAAATCCTTAGTCATAGTTTTTTTTTATAAGCATTTAAAGTTCAAATCTTGACAAAATACAGAAAAATTACAAAAATGAATAATATAATTTGAGTTGAAAAAATCATAAAAATGTTTCTTTTCAAATCTAAGATTTTAAAATGTAATACAAGATTATTCATAAGTTTATATACGCCTTTATCAAAAAAAAAATGTCCACAAGTAAATCAAATTAAATTTTTATGAGCATTTGAAAATCATATTTTTACAAGATTGGATATTCACTAGATTTCTCATGTAGCGATTTTGTTAATTTGTTGTTATTCAAACAAATAACTGTAAATACATGAAAATTTATATATTTATATTTTAATTTTCTATACACCACAAAGTTTTGAAAATATTTTAACTCTCTTTGAGCTGTTTCCGGACATTGTCATTTTTTAATTTTTTTAGTTTTTTTTTTCTATAAATATCAATAAAATTTTATTTGTTGGGTAAAAAGCGTGAAAATTTAATGGAAGGCTCCTGATATATTGTTACAATAGCGTTGAAAAATATTAAAAATACATAGCCACAATTTTTTTTATAAGCATTTGAAGTTCAAATGTTGACAAAATGTATGGATAAATATATAGTTTTTTTTTGTTAGGAAGGATTTTACTTAGAAAGTTGGATTATTTTTGTGTTGGAAATTATAGGTTAAGAATATGCCTATGCACCACCAGAAATTGGACCCAATTTACGCCACAGCTCGGGAGAACATATTATATCTACCTCTGGCTATATAACCTATATATAATTATTAATTTCCACCATAGCCGTCTAGTCTTGTCGATTGTAAATTGCATTTACAGTAAATAGGTAGGTACAAACTACAAGGTTGAAGGCAGTATACTAGTATATGTATATTTAGTTAAAAATACCAAGAGTAAAGTAAATAATTTCGTTCGGAATTTTTCGATTTTTAAAATTGATGTAGTAACTACTAATGACCTTATGAATTCACCGATATTTATTGATCTAAAAGTCAAACTTTATCGCTATATAACTTATAACTGTTATGAATTTATGATATTATGAATGATTTTACGTAGTATTTTAGTTATATAAATGTTTGTGTAACACGCAATATTGAATATCAACGTGTGAAAATTATGTCGCATTAATATAATAATGATTTACGAAAATAACTTAATATATTATAATACCTATTGGCCTATTCTACATTATATAATTTACCTTTTAAAAAATGTTTTAAAATAACCTAATGCACGTACAATTAAATAATATTATCATGATGTCTCTTGGTGCTCGGACCTTGGGTAATGATAAATATAACTATCAAAAAACAATATTACTTACAACCTACTTAAAAATCCTTTGACAATTTGACCGCAATCTTGGATCTAATACACAGGAGATCGATAGGTAGGTATAACTCAAACTGTATTGGGCGCAATTTACGTCTTTCCGTTAATGACACTATTTCCCATGTGGACTGTGGTGATATTATACTATTTCCATGCGCCAATAATCTTCTGCAATAAACTCGAATTTATGACCACAAAAAATAATTATTTTACGTATTATTGAGTTGCGCTACATGCCCCTCTCGTAAAAAGGTTTTTGTTTGCCCTTCCCTCTTATATACGTAATTACTAATTACCCAATTCATCCAACAAACCATTTATACCTACGTTAAAACATGTTTAGATATGTCAGACTCCAGTATCGTCCGATTAGTTCTTTGGAAAAAATTCAATCCTGTCTTATCTCAGAAACGCTTGATACGGAAAATAATGATTTTGTTGAGCTATTGATGTATAGTAAAGATGAAGGTGTTCTGATGACTGGAAAAATGACAGACGGAGATCAAAGCACAGTAATAACTATAATAATATTATACCTGTTTACTCAAATATAAAATAGTTACATCGTACATACGATATATCATCGTTATCGTATTATTAGCATGGCTTTGAACTTAATGATTTTTAATGTCAACGAGTTTTATTTTAAATTCAAAATAAATAACATACATCGTGTATAGAAAATGCTAATATAAATAACCAGTGAAAATGTCTTGTACATACTGTAATTTGTTTTAAAGTGACACTAAAAACCAAAATCGATTTTGTGGAAACCTATTTTAAGTATAAATTTACGATTTTCCTTAATTGTTATATAGTTTTTCCCGGCACCTTTAAAACACTTCTGGGAATTTTAAATTTTGACTTCTCGAATGCATCAACTAGATTCACTTTCTCATTGAACAAGATAATGTTGAAGAAAATCGAAGCAGTTTGACTGCCCCAAACGGTGAAGACACACACACACAAAAAAAAAAACATCACTGTAAAATCAATACATTCATCGCTTAGTATCTAAAATATAATACACAACAATTTTTTAAATAAGTTTTAAGCACCTAATTAATTAATAATTATTATTATTTACTAGCTGTACTCAGGCAGTAATAATAATAATAATAATAATAATAATAATAATAATAATAATAATACAGCTGTAGGCATTACCCAGGTTAAAATTAATCTATCTTTCTATTGTTTTCCGTTTTGCTTCAGTCAGTTGAAAATTGAAATACATAAAAAAATACAGTTACAATGATTAAATTTATGATTTTTCACTGCTTAATATTATTACTTATTTTATGTACATTAATTAATTTGGATTTAACTCATGTTTTATTAGTTCATTAAATTCAAAGCCCTAAATTGTAAATATTAATTGTATTTGTTTATATGAAAAAAAAAAATATATTCCCTAGAAATATATCAATGAAATTGGGCGATTTTACAAACCGTGGTTTTTTAAACACGTTGAATCATTCTTATTATCACAAAAGAATGCCGAAGAATATATTCCATTAAAAGATTATTACTTTAGACATAATAATTCTTTATTTTGGGAAGTGCAGGTAACATTACTACATTTTATAGAGTTTAATATTATTGTATGTACCAACCGACAGTAATGTAAGTATGATATTTGTGTACAGGATATAATACCTTTTGGAAACCATCCAGTATTTCGTTATCTATTGGGATGGATAATGCCAGCAAAAGTGGCTCTACTGAAATTGACACAAACTGATACCATTAAGCGATTGTACAATGAGCATCATTTCATAGATGACTTCATACTACCAATTTCATGTCTGAAAAAATCTGTAGAAAAATTTCATAAACACTTAAATGTAATTGAGAAAACATTTATTACGAGTATAATTTGAACACATTACATATTAAAAAACAATTTAAATTGTGTATGGTTTCATTTTAGATTTATCCTATTTGGGTATGCCCAACTGTTTTAAATCCAGGTCACGGTCTCGTACACTCACATGCTTCAGTAGACAATATGTACATTGATATTGGTTTATATGGAGAGCCCAATGTGTCCAATTATAACTCAGATATCGCGAAGGATTTAGAACTATTTGTACTCAAGTCGAAAGGGTAAGTTAAATTTTATAAGTGTACATTTTTATAAATGTAATGGTTTTTTTTTTTTCAATTTAATTTTAGATTTAAGATGATGTATGTCGGCACTTATTTGAATATATACGAGTTCAAAAAAATGTTTAATCATTGTTTGTATCAGCGTATAAGAATGCAGCTTAATTGTGAATACAACTTTCCAGAAGTCTACGACAAAGTGAATAAGAAAGTTAGAAGATAATATTTGTACCTTAATACTAGTTATAAAATAAAAATCAGAACAATAAATGCTAACATTAAATATTATCTCTAATATTTAATAACTTCACATTTAAATGTTCATTATGCACAAGTGATGTATAATTAGTAATAATTTGATTTTTAATACAAATTATTCAACATAATTTTAAAAACATTTTTTCTTTCTGAAAAACGGTTATATCAAACAATAATTTGTTTAGCTTATAACATTTCTTACAACTAATATGCCAAAAGTGTTTTATTGTATCCAAAGTAAAATAAAATAAAAGACAAGATGATTTTAAATTTATAAGTACTATACATATTAATTGGATACTTAAATATTTAATTTGTTGACAGTAATTAAATAAAAATGAGACAACATAAAGAAAGTTTGCTTTTAATCATTTATTAATCAAGATCATCAGTTTACCTATACATAATGGCAACACTTGAAATAAAGGTTTTGTATTTTGTGTCTTAGTCTTAATCACAAATGGGAAATATAACCATATAAATTATTTTTAATAATTGAATACAAAAAAAAAAAAAAAAATAATAATAATAAATGAACTGTAGAAACAAAGAAATTTAATTATTCAATATCGAAAAAAATCACTTATCATAGTCAATTACACACAATGGTTTAAAAAAAAAGTAAAAATAATAATAATAGATTCAAAACAAATTAATGGAAATTATAATTTGAAGTAATTTATGTAAGCCAAATTTGGCAATTATAAAATTATAAAAATAGTATGATTACAAAAAAAAAAAAACTTAAATTATATAATACTGATTGACCATAAATATCTAGTGATCAATGGTTGAACTCAATTATATTTTGTAAACACACTTTATGGAATATAATTTGGTTAACTATTCAAGATGACATTTATACAGCCCTAAGGTTGATAAGTTAAAAAAAAAATTCTTTTTAGGATAGACATTAATTATTTTGAATGGAATTCTTTGATGCATAATTTACAACTCCAGCAACCTTCTGGCGGTGATGTAAGTGGTGGTGTTAAGCAATACACATGATAACCACGATCACAATCATCACAAAACAAAAGTTGATCCTATTAATAAACAGAATAAAATTTTTAGCTTTTGCAGTATTTAATAACTATGAAAATATTATTCTTACATCGTTATCTGATGTTCCACAAATTGAACAACATTTACACTCGATGCACTGCCAGCGATATTTTCCAACAGAAATGATCATATTTGCAGTAAATTGCAGACATGTTGGATGGCCTAAAAAACATGAGAAGTAAGTTTAGTATATTTAACAAAATAAAATGCAAAAAACTTTTACCTGAACGGCCACAGTCCGAACAAGAAATCAATATTTCTGGTTGACCAGATTTATTAGATACTTCATCGCCCAAACAAAAATCACAATACGGTGATGGATTTGCAGATTTATTATTGCCTCCAGATTTTGTTTTAGTATATCCCTAGAGAATAGAACAATTATAAAAATACTTACATACATTAAAATATTATAACACAAATTATTACTTCTCTCGAAACCGCTTTATTATGTGACGTTTTTGCTGGAGTAGCAGTTGATGGAAAAGTTGAACTTGCCGTGCTCGAAGCTGCTTCATTTGGATTCAATGTCACCAGTGGAGAATTGTTTTGATGGTTTGACATCCTAGCTGAAACCCGTTTTGAGTGAGGAGCAGGAGACGCCACCGGTGTATTGTTGCTGCCTGAAGGACCTGAAACATATTACCATTGATTCGGTCCAATTGTACCTTGACCAAACCATGCATTTGGGTCTACAAATCACAATGCATACTTCAAATAGTCTTGTAGTAGGGAAGTAATTATTCCCAGAGGTGTGATGCACTGCAACTTGCACAGTAAACTTTATTCCCTACTCTTATAATTTATTATTATTTTCATAAAATAATAATAAAATAATATAATATAATATAATAATAATAATAATAATAATAATAGTAAAATTCTATATCTAAATAAAACCAGCTGAAAAACTTAACTATACTAAATATAACTACCAAAAATAAATATTAAGCTATTTTATCTTCATTTTTTGTCATCAATCAACATTTTATTATTATATGAATACATATTACACATACACAATTGATGTAGAACAATGAAAATATAATATAAAAATATTTCAATAGGGATTTTTTATATTTCCGTACTATTATGGAAAGTTTAATAACTTCAATTTATTACAAATTTAAATTGCCATTAAAATAAAACATTTCATTACTAATTTATTGTAATAGTACAATCACAAATAAGTATGAAATAATTATTAAAAAAAAAACAAAACATATTTATACGTTTTAGGAAGAAAGAAAAGGATAACTATAAAAAAGAAAACAATAATTATTTATAACTTTATGGTTTATTTAGATTAAACAATTTGTTATACATATCCCAAAATATGTCCATAGTACAGCACCCATTGCCTTAATGAATTATATGGACTTAAAATAGTCAGAGTTTAACTCAGAATTGAACACAAAGGGACAATTTCCAATTTTAAGACAACTCTATAATAATATTATGACATGGTAATAAACTTAGTTATTTATTTTAACTAAAAAAGATATGTGATTGAAATAATTACTATATATTATGTACTATACTATACATAATTAATTAAATAAAGTAAAATTAAACTCGGAGCACAATGAGCCATCTTAAAAATGGATTTTGTTCAATGAATTATGATTGCCCAAACATAATTTACTTATTTAAAAACAATTGATGATAAATTCATATTCATTGCTCATAAAACACTATGTTTACTCAAAATTAACCACTACCAGGTACGCAGACAATTGTGTTAAAAACAAAAAAATATTACGATGTGTATATATATTATATATAAACATATTAATGGTTTTAATTAGTTATAGTATTTAAGTAACTAAAAAATTGAAACATGACAAATTTAATTATATACTATAAATATAAAACTGATTAATCAACGTTTCTTAATTACAAATATTGATCTATTTTAAATTATAATTGATTGATTTTTTTTTCATAATAAATAGGCGATATAATATCACTCATTGAAATAAAAGGTGACCAGTTGATAAAAATACAATTTATAATATTAATTTGATGCAGGTCAGGCATATTTGAGTAAAGAGAAATTTTAATTTTTAATACTCAATCTTACTAGGTATATAAACTGTACATATTATCCAAAAATAGGTCCCATTTAAATATCTGAATGATCAACAGATAAAAGTATAAAAAAAATTCAATTTTAATAATTTGGACTGATTTAAACGATAATTAAAAAAAATATACCTGTAATATACCTATAAAATATTTATAGGTAATAATATTGATTCATCATTTAGATAAATTATAAATTAATTTAAGAAAAGTTGTACTATTAAATAATTCAATATGTAAAAATAAATTTAAAAAATGATCAAAACAAAAACAAATAAAATTGTAAAAAACAGACTAGAGAAAACAATTATTACTTAAATAAACAATAAATAACGCATTTTATGGATACAGAATGTATTCATGTTTTAATTTATAATTTAGAAGAAAATTGTCATATAAATAAGTAAATTTAAAAAGGAAACTTGTGTTTAACACATTTGTATGCATCTTTTAAAAAATAAAAATCACATTTGTTTACTTAAACTTGTATTAAATTGCTTGTAGATGTTTATAAATAAACAGTCAATAAGATGTATAGATTTTATTGCTTAAGTTCAAATTTTTTAAATAAAATATAATACTTAAATTTTAAATAGTTTTTTTTTCTTTTTTTATATCAAATTTAAATTGTTTCAAGTTGAACCAATAAAATATTCAAAGAATTCAAGTGTAATGTAACAAAATAAAATAAAAATTCCGGTACTATATAAATAATATAATATACTTTATAACATTCTAACTCTTATGAAAAACTAAGCATCTCATATTATGCTCTAACGACGATAACATTTGTAATTAAAGAACTCACTATATTCTTTTTTAACTCGCCAATAAATAATAAATAGATGTTTCTTAATATTATTATAAATTGAAAATAAATAAATAAGTCAACTGCCTAGTTAAATGATTGGTGTAGTTATAAAATATCACAATAATTTTTTTTTTTTAGAATTTACATCATTATAAATTACATAATTATCTATATATTATAATAAATTAAAATTCATATATGACTGTACATTGGAGGGAAGCTCATGATTTGTCCCAGATTATATGTGTAATACTGAATTTATAATGTGCTACATATTAAGCATTTATCTGCTGGTTTAACATGTTTCATAATAAGGCAATAATTATTTAGTAGTACACATGGAAATATTTATACAAAAAATCTATACTAAGTGATTTAATTCAGTACAATATAGGGTAAAAATTCACTAATATAAGTAGGAATGTCTGATGTCCACAAAAAAAAAAAAAAAAACATTTATTTTAACAAAATAAAACAAATTATAGCTATGAGAGTATTCTATGCTATTGTGATGTTATTATTTTGGTTTAAGGACGTGGTTAAGTCACTGCCACCAGCATTATTATAATGATAATGTTGCCATAAATTGATGTACACAAGGTATGGCCCAGACCTTCACCACTAAACCCTTAAATAATATTTTCTGTCATTCGGGACGTCTGCCACCTCCATCTTATCCTTCAAACAAAAACAAACAAAAAGAGGGGCTTTATTTTATTTTTATTCCTTGAAAATTAATAATGAAATATATGTTTTTGTTTAACGTCACATTCAAGCGCATATGCACTCGCCACACATGCATACACAGAGCTGGGACAAATCATGATTTAAATTTGAAAACAATTGTTATTAATAAGACAAACAAACCAATCATCAACGGACAACGAAATATTCTGATTAAAATAATGAGTTTAATCCTAAATCAATTTGTATTCATTACCAAGAGTTATCAAAGTCGCCGGTAAAGCATTGTCGTTTTAAAGGTTGATAACTTTTCTAAAAATTGTTGGTTCAAAGAGACGGAGCTTAAAATCACAACCCCTTATCCATACAATCAAAGAGGCTTCAATATAACAAGTTCACTTAACACTTGCATTAAAGTCTTTTTGATTTTAATTCATGCCCAGCTCTGCATATAAATGAGAGGTACAGGGAAAACACCCCATATCTATAAAATGTTGAATTGAACTTTTCAAAAACTATTGAAATTTTCCCAATATATTATTAAATTAATCAAATAACTTTTAAGTTATAGTAATATAAAATAATATGGGCATTGGAAATTAATTAACAATATTGGCTATTGCTAAATATTTTGAATGAACACAATATATGAATTAATGATATTTTATGTTCAGCATGAATATTAATAGTTTCCATGTACCCCTCATAATATGTATACTGTTGATTATGTTGTTAATAAGCACAAATTACAACATAAATTACATAGTACAAACTACAAAGAAAAATTAAATACTAGTGCTAAACTTTTAGGTTTATGGCATAAAACGACTAATGCTTACCAAATTTAAATTACATTGTCGCTGTGTATGATTATATTAATTTCCTTAGATTTAATTTAATACACATTATAAATACCAATAATAGTCCATGAATCAAGTGTTTGGATAATACAATATTCATAAATATATAGTAGTCATATATAATAAAACAAAAAATAAATTTAAAAGCAAGTCATAATTGAGATTTTAGAACTATAAAGCCAATCAAAAAAATTTTATTTTAGAAATTAGGTGGTATTATTGTGGGGTTCTATACAAATTTTATATAGGTATGGTAACATAATAAATACCAATTTAACTTTTTAACGTTGTTTTAAATCAAACTAAGGAAAAACTGAATATTATTTTAAAACTCCACATAAAATCTTAAGCAATTAAACATTATAAATAAGTATGTCAATATTACAGTTTAATGCATTAAAATAGCATTCACATGCAGTAAATTCTCTAGGTGGTATTTAATTTATAAATATAAAGTTCATTAAGACTCGATAAAATCTAACTTCAAATGTATGACCTTAGTTTACTTCACACTACTAATAGAAATGCAATACTGTTATTATAATGCTCAAGTCCATATTCATTGTAAGCAAAAACTTTTTATAATTTACTAAATACATATTCAATAGAAAATAATTGTGACACTCATAAGGGCTAATCAAATAAAACGAGTATTGTACTATGATCTCTACTCAGATTGCATAACATAAACAATATGAATAGAAAGGAAACCCACTGGTAAACAACTAAGAGAGTTATTGCATGCAAAGCAAAAAGCATAAATAACATTTTTAATTTTGATTTAGGAAATAAAATCATAAATCAATAAATTATAAGGAAAAGCTAATAAAACATTTAGATTTTGAGATTCTATGATGAATAGGTAATATTTATGTAAGGTAACATTTGAATATGATATAATTTATTCATTGAAAATTACTTTAAATCTTATTCTCAAAATTATGCAAAAGTATATTTGGTAAAATTTTAAGTAGCACATTCAAAAAAGAAAACCCATAATATTAAATATCTAAATATCACCGAATAATAATAAGATTTCAAAATACATAGAAAAAATTAATTTATCTAATTTGACATATACACTATGATTATAAATTGATCAAAAAATTACTAAAATAATATGGTCCAAAATTAATGAAACACAATTCATTACAAATTTGTTGTCATATTCAATTAAAGAGAAATCATTATTTTCTTAAATTATATTTAAACTTTAATAGATAATGTATATATTATTCATGCAAACAGATTAAAATAATTTTTTTTATTTATTCAACAACCATAATAAATACAAATATTTTAAATTTTTAACGATAATAAATTGTATCAACAACCTATTTATGTTTATAAACCATATTAGAAACTACATTTACAAAATAAACAAGAATTTGTCAAATTTCTAACATAGCCCCCCTTTTTTATACAGTTAATAAATTTAAAAATTATCATATAGTTGGATTAGCTAAAGTTAATACCTAGCCAACCTAAGATACATTTGTCGTAGACATTTTTAACTAATTTCCAGCAAATATATCCTTGATCGAGATTAGGCTCAAGAATGAAATATTTTAGAAAATGTTCTAGTGCTTAAATTTATTTTATTTTTTAATATTTTTCCTGTAGTATAATTTAATGGTTTAAATTAAAATAAATATTTGTAAATGGTAACAATGAAAATAGGGTCATAATTATTTGATTTAATCAGGTTTCAAAATCAACAATTTTTTATGGATGTTTTGAATTGTTTTTAACCAACATGAAAAATAGTATAACAAAAACCTGAGCTAAAGTGCGTGCAGCCAGAAGAATGTTTTAATTTTAAGCGGTTTAGTGATTACCAGGGGCATTAAGGAAGGTGACATAACTGTCCTGGAATTTGCTCCAACCTGTTGTAGTTTGTTGTTGTTCAAATGGTTGAGACTGTTGTGTTTGTGGAGACACAGGGGTTGATACTAAACCACTCTCTTGGCTGGCCTCTTCATCTGCTACAGGTATATTGGCAGCAGGTTTTTCCTTGTGTGAATGAGTGTAATGATAAGTAAGACCAGGTCGAGTCTTGTAACGAGCTCCACATACTGAAACATTAGCATACGCTAACACCCTCATACAGCCGGAATAATGGTCACGACAAACAAAAACACTCAAACGCAAACAAGTTAAACTAGAGTACTGATACGGTGTGACGACCATAATACAAATTACAAAATCATAAAAAAAAATCCAAATAGATATAAAATAATAAGTTTTTAAAATAAATTAAGAAAAGCAATATTTTTTACATAAATAAAACACCATATTTAAGTAAAAAGAATTAACTGTTCATAAAAAAAATTTAACATTTCTAAAAAATATATCTATAATTCTTTTTTATACTGTTCAACCCAAAATACTATTAAGGATAATGACTACCAAAATTTGTGTATGAATTTTTAGACCCTTATAGACTAATATTTAAAGTCTTTTTATTTAGAAACTTTAATAGTAATTCTTAATTTAAAGTTACAATAAATTCAAGTTCTAATTTTACTATACCTGCCTATAATAAACGTATGATATGGAGGGCATAAATTTAATTATATTTGTATGAATAATACCACCTCATTGTGCTTTGCTAACACAACATGCATTATGGTATAGTATGCTCATTTGACATAATTGAAATAATTAGGGTAAAAATAAATGCAATATTTTATTGCAAGTTAATCTTTAGGTTATGGTAAATTTTGTGCACGACTATAAAAATGTTAAGACCACAATAGGTACATAAAAACGACTTAAATAGCATTAACCAAAATATAACACAAATGCAAAAAATGTACTTACGGTCGCATGCATATGGTTTATCAGGGTCTTGAAGATCAATGAAACCACTCATTCCTTTTTTTCTTCCTCTTCCAGATGTTGAACCCTTCATATTAACATTTAAGTATAAAATATTAAAAATAGCACTGCTTTACATTTGTATTAATTGCATAAATACAATTAAAAGTATTTGGTCTTATTAATAATTATTTGGGCTAAGATACATATTATGCAATAAAAAAATGGTAGAATTATGTAAAAAATATGTATAATTGTATTATGTATTTTAACACGTTCACTGCATATCATATTTTTGTATACTTGTCGTGACGCTGATAAAATTCTAGCTTTAAAAAAAAATTTCCTAAAAATTGAAAAATTAAAATATCAGTGTACAGTTTGCACTTGATTATGAAACAATGCTTATAGAAGACGCTGAAAAAAAACCAAAAGTTTAATCGTAACACTGACCAAATTATAGTCCATTAAATAACAAGATACATGACGCCAATTGGCGTCATTCAGCACATGCGAACTATGTACAATGACGCCAATTGGCGTCTTACGCAGCAAACGTGTTAAATTTGTACTCAAAATTAAAAAATTTGCAAACAATTATTTTAAAAGTTACAAATATGCAGTCAATATTAGTCAAAGTTCACAAATTGACAAATAATAATAATAAATTATGAAACAAGAGCACGACATTAAAATTAGCATTGGTGCTAATTTGTTATTTGTTGCACAATTTATAATATCATATGTAATCTACGAAAATATTTAGTAGGAACCACGTATTATGAATTATTTTTATTACTGAATTGGGTTTATACAATATAATATTATAATTTTGCTATAAAATAATGATTGATTTTATGTTAATTGCAAGAGCATACACTCAAACCATTGAGTGTTATGGTCATTTTAAAAATATAAGTTTTAAGAAAAATGCTTGGGACAAATTTCCAAATGTTACATTGTAATTTAATTGGAGAATTACAATATACATCTAATAATTTTATTTTTTATGCTCAGATAAAGTTTTAAGTGTTTATTATTAAATGTATAGGTAAAATGATTATTAATAACAATTATTATACTATTTTCTTTTATAAAAAGTTTTAATGATTTAAAATTAATAATAATAATAATAATAACAATTATTACTCCTTGTATTCATTTTTTAAGCTTTTTACTAGCAAACAAAAAATGTATCAAACATAAAACAAAAATAAAACTAAATATATAAACTTATTAATTTAACAAGGGATCTACAAACAAACCAACAATGTTTTAATCCACAGTTTCCAGTCCATACTATCTTAGTTGGTGATTTTTATACAAATTATACATTTTACTTATGGGCCACAAAAAACTACAATGAGGGCAAGTGGTACGAGGGGTTATCGACCCCTGTCCAAGATTAAAATTTATTAAAGCAAATTTAATATTTATACTTACTCGTTGGAACATGGAAGAGGAGGTTAAAAATAAAACATAAAAACAAAAGTGGGATGTAATTTTTTGCAACAGGTTTCAATAAAGGGTGGGTGGGTGGGGTGGGGTGGGGCGGGTGGGGTGGGTGGGACAGTGGTTGATAGTGATCCTTGCCATACACATTATTTTTTACTTCAGTGGCCACTGAATTCCTATACTATTTATATTTACTTAATAGTTAATTATTGATAATTTCTCACTTTTGTACTGCGCCGACCACTTGTACTTTCATTATTCGTACTATTACGACCAGGCTTCCCAACTTTCCGCCTTTTTCGTTTAGTGTAACTCTCTTCATAATCATAATCTGAATCGGCATCAGGTTCTTCAAATCCTTCGATTTCTTGAATTTCAAATTCATCATAATACCATTCCTTAAACAAAAAACATAATAATTAATACAATAATATAGTTGATAAAGGCAAATATTTTTGTAGCTTTAAGTGTTTGGATGTTTAAAAGATACTGTATCATCGGAATTTTAAATAATTAAGACATCTTTTAGTAGTGTTTGGGCCTTAGAAAGTGCATATAGGTATGTGACTCGAGTTTAAAAGTAATAAATGTCTACATTAGGACCTTAGAGTAATATTACTCTATGATTAGAACTAATTTCTTATCTCAGCCTTTCGACATACCAAATTTTGTTCACTAATTTCAATAGTGTGCTGTTAGTTTTGATATAAAGAGTGAATTGACCGTTAATCAAACTTTAAAGCACGATTTAAGATAGTATGGTTGCCCAACGAGGTATGATAAGACGGCATTGGATTTAAATCGGACCCCCGTTGCTAGCGCTTCTAGTGGACTATTTTATAATTGATAATATAATATGATCATTATATATATTTTTATTGTATATAGGTATAACATAACAATTTTTATTAGTTTTGATTTGAACCAATATGAGCGCTGCATGCGGGGGTCCCCGTAAATCACGTGACTTTTCGATTCAAACCGTATGCCGTGTGATAACATTTTTCTAATGGGTCGATGGGCAACCATACTATCTTAATCGTGCTTTTAAGTAAGAACATAATCTGTGCTTACGCGACAACTTATTCAATATTTTAATTTTCTAGTGAAATATAAGCATCTTTAATTTTTGATATTTCACATGCTCATTTCTTGCTTGATTAAAATATAAAAAAAAAAAGAACTGACGCTTAAGCACAGATAATGTTCTTACCTTAAAGTTTGATAATGAGTAATTTCGCTCTAATATCAAAACTAACAGCACACAATTAAAACTAACTAACAAAAATGTATGTCGTACATTTTTAAGATGAAGACAAAAGAGGCATGGTTACTGCGTAGTGCCCCCTTAGGGGGATCGGTGGTGGACAGTTTTTAAAGAGTTCAACATAGGCAATTTTTAAATTTCATGCACACGATTCTTGTAAATGTCTTAGGTGATCATGTGTGTAAAAGAAATAGTAGAGCACTACCACACGTGCATACACAAGTCGTCACCTCGGCGTTACGCGCGTGAACGGTAAACAATTTATGCTCAATTGGTGTACTTTTTGTCCATCCTACCGATTGACCTTAAAATGTGATAATATTTCAGAAAACCGATCTGAATTTGTTATTATATCTAGGTCAGTCAGTACACATTATAAGAGTTCTGATTCTCCAATAAAGAAAGTTTGAAAATTCCGAAATTTCAAAATATTAAAAACCAATTTTTCGTTGTTGTGGCAGTAGGGAGGGGGGAGGTTGTGAAATTGGGAAAGTGGACTCAATCTCAAGTAGACATAATAAAGAATTCAATTCAGTTTTAAAAAGTATTATTGCATAACTAGGTAAATCAGTATGATGAACAAATCAGTATGATTGGTATCTTTTGGCTAAAATAACTATTCGCCTCCACCGATCATCTCTTTAATAATTAATAGTAATTATACTTTATCTAATTAGTTTATATCACAAGTTATAGGCTAAATTATTTTTAACACTTACAGAAGATACTTTAGTGTTTGAACTATTTTGGTTAGTCTGATCATCTTTAGATACTATGGTATTTGTTCCAAGGCTATCTTTACTATCTTCATTGTTTGAAATTGCATTTTGACTGTCTCCAGTATGTAAATCAATATTAAATGAATTAGTTCCATCCCCAGAATCACCACCACTTGCTAAACCTTATAAATAAAATAATTAAAGAGTTTAGAAATAAATAATTACAAGGTACATTATTTCATGCATAACATTATTAATATACTTATAATAGACTAACCAGATTCTTTACGTCTTCCAGAAGAATTGAATACAGAGGAATTTACAGAGCTGCTATTGCAGGTATTTAACAAATATTGTCTTCTTTTCTTCTTCCACCTTTTGGAAGGGTATGTATATACTTGACCGTTATTTAACCCAGGCATACGCTGTCGTTCCAGCATCAATAAACTTGAATGTGTTTGAGCTACACCTAATAAATAGGAATCACAATTATAATTAAAGATTAGATGCATAATAAAGTTGGTTTTATTAATAGAGTACTTATAGAACCATGCATATTATCTCATAAGTACCTGTTTGGGTATCCAAAAATGGCATTCTTAATCGCCGTTCTATACATAATCTTGTATTATAATTCACAGAATTCTCAACAGCTTCACGGTAAGATAAATCATTGATAAAGCTAAAATAATAAATAAAATACTGTATTAGAAACAATTTATTTTTATAGGTACTTTATCATAAAAAAAAAATTTACAACAATTAACTTTGAGACAAACTATAGGTACTTAATTAAATATTTATTTGTTAGATAGGTCCTGATATCATTGGTATTTATCACCAATTAGTAACAAGGGTGTGATTTATAAAATATTACATATTTAGATAAATAAGAATTTCCAGTAATGTTAAAATTATTAAAAAAATTCTTTTTAGTAAAGTAATTATGCAAGTGTATTTTATGTTATGCAAAATAAAAAAAACCATAATGAATGCGTTGGAAATCAATTATGCTTTTAGTTCAAAACATTTAATAATATATTAGTGGATATAAATGTTACCTATACATTTATAATTATTCAGTAGGTACCTACAGTGAAGTACCTACCCTTGGAAGTACCTAATAAATAAGAAACGTTTAAAAAAATCAATACAATTTTGTTTGTATGCTTTTATGCCTCATCTAAAGATAAATTAATAATACACTTAGGTGTACTAATTTGTTACTGTTATTGTATGTATGGATATACAAGCAGACATACCTATGTATATAACTATAGTATAAGAAGGGGCTAAGTAATTTTCTTTCTTTTCTAATATTAATGCTAACACAGAATTGGAACTGCTGAGCTTATATTTTAGTATTTTATGCAATAGTAAAGATGGAGACAATACATTCGGGTACAACATCCTCTTAAAAAGAAAGAAAATTACTTAGCCCCTTCTTATACTATAGTTATATAGTATACCGGACACCCTTTTTTTTGCGATTTTTTTTGGGGGACTTTGTCATATTTTTGACGAAAAAAATTATGGTGAAATCAGAATTTGGGGCTCGGACTTAGTTTCGAAGTTATCGGCGAATGAAGTTGGCTATTCTAAGTTCACTGTGCCTATCATGAAGATTGATGTTTTTGTTTTTGAAACTTGTGCTTTTATGGAGATTACGGTGCGAGGTTATCCACTTTATCAGGTAATTAAAAACGAAAATATCCCTCGATCTGCTATCCAAATCCACCTAAGTTAAATTAAAAATGTATATTTGTTGCGAAAATGTTATATTTAATGACGGCCGCGGCCGCGGCGGTGACGACGACGACGACGAGTGAAGTCCAAAAATGTTTATTCTTATATAATGTATAAGAATTGTAGTTGATAGTGAATAAAAATTAAAATAGTTGAAAAAATTTGTTGTGCATAGGAAGTGCACAATCTGTTTTCATATAATCTGTGGCGTTACTGCGCATGCGCTGGGACTTGTGATTATTCGCGTGTATGGGCAGTGATGCCTTGCTAGCGGCACTCGTCGCTACGCTCCTCGGCGCCGTCGCTCCGCTCCGCAAATCGAAAATATCCCTTGACTTGCTGTGCAACACCACCTTAAGTAGGTCACAGGGTAAGTTATGTCGTAGTATGGGCAGTGATGCTTTGCTAGCATCAATCTTCATGATAGGCACAGTGAACTTAAAATAGCGAACTTCATTCGCCGATAACTTCGAAACTAAGTCCGAGCCCCAAATTCTGACTTCACCATCGTTTTCAGCGTACTTACCTACATATATTTCAATTACAAAAATTGCAAAAAAAAAGGTGTCCGGTAAAGTAGAAATATACCTTAGAAAAATAATTGACTTATCATGAAATTTAAAGGTGAAAACATTATCTGTGTTCTCTCTTTTGTTTTGTACAATATTTTAATTTTTAAGCAAATTATGAGTATTTTAGGACATTACGCATTAAGAGTGCGTAGCACCCACTGTGTTGTCTTCGTCTTACAAGTACGTAACATGGTAAATTGTATGCAATTTGTATTAAATTAGAGTTTAAATAAAATTTAAAGTTAGATTATTAGGTATCTATACAATCTCATAAACTTTTTATTTCATTTTAATTTTGAAGCCAGTTATGAGTATTTTAAGATGTAGGTACAAACAATTTACAACTTTAAAATATTCATAACTCTCTTTAAAATTAAAATATAATAAAAATCCTATTAGATTGCCTAGATAATAATCCTATACTAAAATTTTATAAGAGGTCAATTCACTTTCATTTTTAAGCTAACGGATCTAAACATGATCTGCTGAGAGTAAAATTTGCTATGTTACGCACTTGAAAGACGGTAACAACATATTTGGGTAAGACGTCCTTTTAATTGGACATCAAAGAGTGTTACTATTTTGTTTTATACACAGTGAGGTAATTATACCCATACAATATATTATAGAACATTTGTGACACATCACAAAATCAATTACATGAAACTACCTATATCGCTGCTAAATAAATAATATCCAAATTATGAATATTATGAGACTTTAGAGTAAACAAAGTGAATAGTTAAAATTATCTTCTTATGTAATAGTTATTACTTTATTAGGTATATAAAATAAAACGGGAAATAAAAGTTGAGGATCAATATAACAAACTCATTGCATATTAAGTTTAGGTACCTACATTTAATTGAAAATTATTTTTCGTATAAATAGGTAACTGCTACTCAATGATAAGAGTTGTCAAATAAAATGCCTTTAATCAAACATAGCAGATAGGTACATCATCAATAACACCAAAGCACTTTGGTCGGTCAGCGTCTAAAACGTTTCGTACGGCAATAACAGAATTCCCTGACCACTGTTGACCGAAACTAGAGAGACAGAACATGATAAATAATTTACCAGGAGACGCTTTTCACGAAATTGGGTTTGATCTCGACGGCTGCCATGGTGATGCTTCGTCCCGGAGTGTGATGACCGCCGCGACGCGTTACGACAGCGGCATAGGTGATGGCGGTAGCCGGCCCGTGTATGAGGGTGATCAGTACAGACCGAATCGGACTATAATGGCGATGGCGGACGCGCAAAGGTTAAAGGCTTGCACGCAAATAATAAAACACGGTTACGATGTCTAGTGAGCGGTTGATCGATGCAGCGAAACGGAAACGCGACACAACGGTTGAACGGTTGGGAGGGGGGGGACGAAAATCGTGTGTACGTCGGACGCCGAGCGATGGCGTATTGGACGTTCAATAAAATATGCTGCGCGCACCGTTCGCACAGTGCACACGACGTTTAGGCGTCGGCTTCGTGCGGATCGATCGGCGGCGGCGTCTGCGTACTGCGGCTGTGTGACCGTGTCAACGCGTCGCGTCCGCTGTAACGCGGCATACCAACATGACGTACAACAGGATGCGAGTCTTCGTAACGAACCAACCGTCGTGTGTACGTACGTGCGTGCGTGCGTGCGTGTCTACCTCCAAGCGACCAACGGGCCCGTAGCCCGTTCTGCCGTCTTGGTCGCTGCGTCTCCGTCCCCGTCGTTGTATCGTCCCACAAAATACGAATTAAGATATTATCTTAATCTGTGTCTCGTCCTTGAATCGTCGTACAGCACTACATACATAACATTATATAAGTAATATAATTTTGTACTTGTCTATGGGTTACATTCGAGTATGTCGTACACTCGTACTGTGCATTCTATGTAACGAAGAGGATTACACAATTAGAATGGCCTGATTATTGCTAAAATTTTTCTTGAATGACAAACATTTATTCCCCTCCCACCCCTTATAGATTGCCGTATAAGTAAAGAAGAAAATAATACAGAAATCATTTGATAATCATGAATATTGACCATACAAATGAAAAATATAATGGCAAACGAAAGAGGATTAAATTTATTTAAATTAGAGTACCTACCTAAACAGAACAAAATCATTTTTTTCCTTTAAGAGGACGCTACCCATACATTTGTTGTCTCCGTCTTACACACGCACGACATAGCAGATTGTCGTTCACTAGGTTCAATAGTGTGCTGTTAGTTTTGATACTAGAGTGAATTGACCTATTATTAAACTTTTAGGTAAGAACATTATCTGTGCCTAAGAGTTGCCGATTTTTTGAAATTTTCATTTTCAAGCAAGATATGGGTATGTGAAATATTAAAAAATAAAATTGCTCACCTCTCGCTTGAAAATTAAAATAACGAATAAAAGCCAAAGCTTTAATACAGATAATGTTATTATCTAAAAAATGTTTAATAGGTCAAATCACTCTAATATCAAAACTAACGCAGTACACTATTGAAACTAGTGAACGAAAATGTGCCATATAGCAAGTGTGTAAGACGGAGACAACAAATGCATGGGTAGCATATCCTATCTTAAGGGGATTGGAAGCGGCGATTTTCTGTCTTTGTCTAACACACGTGCAACATAGGATTATAGACGTGTTCTATTTCCAACGTACCGATTAATCTAGTCAAGTGATAAGAATTCTGAAAACAGATTTGAATTTGTCGTTAAGTCTACTTGAGATCGACTTTCCCACATTTTTGATATTTTGATTAAAACTTCTCCAAAAATTGAAATATGGCAATTTTTTAATTACTATTTTTAATATATAATTTTTATGATTTTTGGGGGATAATATCAAGCATGTGGGGAAGTCGATCTCAAGTAGACTTGACGACAAATTCAAATCTGTTTACAGAATTCTTATCGCTTCACTAGATTAATTGGTACGTTGTAAATAGAACACGTCTATAATCCTATGTTGCACGTGTGTTAGACAAGGACAGAAAATCGCCGCTTCCAATCCCCTTGAACATCTAATTTCGTCCAAATTTGAACAAAAAATAACTATAACAAATTTTTTAATTTTTAGATTTTTTGGTTACAGAATAACTTAGACACCTGGTACCTTGTTTTAAATTTACAATCTTTACCTATAAAAGTTGAACTTTTTATAAATTTTTCACTACAAAATCATTTTAGATTCTGAGTTTAACGATGAATGTATTTATTTTACAATGATGTGTGTTTTTATATTATTCATTTTAGATTCTGAGTGAAACGACGAATGTATTGATTTTAAATGATGTGTGTTTTTTTTTTTATTTTTTATTTTTTTTTGTGTCTGTCATCACGTTTTAGGACAGTAAAAGTGCTTGGATTTTCTTCAACAGTAGCTTTTCTGATAGGAAAGTGAATCTAGTTGGTACTTTGGGGGTCAAAAGTAAAAGCGCCGTGAAAAACAAAAGACAAATTAAGGAAAAACGGGAATTTTTACGCAAAATCGATTTTGGTTTTTGGTGTAACTCTAAAAGAAATGAACGTATATACATGAAATTTTCACTGGTTGTTTATATTTGCATTTTATATACACGATAACATTTTCAAAATATTTTGATTTATTTTGAACTGTTTGGGGACATTTTCATTTTCCATTTTTTTTTAGTTTTTTTTCTAAAAATATCAATAATATTTTATTTGTTGGTTGAGAAAGCTCAAAGCTTGAAAATTTAATAGAAGGCTCCTAGTATTTTGTTTCAAAGGCAGATGAAAAATATTAAAAATCCTTAGTCACATTTTTTTTTTATAAGTATTTAAAGTTCAAAAATTGACAAAATATGGAAAAATCATGAAAATTAGCAAATTATTTTGAGTTAAGAATTCGTAAAAATTTTTCTTTTTAAATCTAAGATTTGAAAATGTAATACAAGATTCCTTATAAGATTATCTACCTTTATCAAAAAAAAAATGTCTATAAGAAAGTCAAATTAAATTTTTATGAGCGTTTGAAATTCAAATTTTTACAACATTGGATATTCACTCGATTTCTCATGCAGCGATTTCCTATACATTTTTCCTTAAATTAGCATTTTCTATACACCATACAATTTTGAAAATATTTTGACTCTTTTTGAGCTGTTTATGGACATTTACAGCTTTCAATTTTTTTTAGTTTTTTTTTCTATAAATATCAATAAAGTTTTATCTGTTGGGCCAAAAAGTGTAAAAATGTAATACAAGGCTCCTGATATATTGTTACAATATCAGTTGAAAAATTTTAAAAATACATAGTCACGATTTTTTTTTATAAGCATTTAAAGTTGAAATTTTGACAAAATTTATCAAAATTTCGAAAATTATCAATCGTTGGAATTAAAAAATTATAAAATGTTCAGTTTTTATAACTAAGAGTTGAAAATTTAAAACAAAGATTCTCTTAAATATTTCATACTGTAACCAAAAAATCTAAAAAATATATAAACACACTTATTTTTTACAGACATTTTAGTTTCAAATTTAGACAAAATTTCATATTTAAACCAAGAATTACGATTTTAGTTATTTTGTTCTGATTGAATAATATTATTCGTGGGTAGGTACTTGAAACTTCTAAAGTGTACTATTATATATCTATGATAGTATCACGGTTTTTGTTGATGTATAACGCGTTATAAGTATCTAATGGATATTGTGATATGATTAATTTGGAATTTATTATAGGTACCTACCTATTATAGGTTAATTTTTGTTTAATACCATAGATATGTATATAATATGTCTTATACATAGACTGACATACCGTCACCGCTCAGAATCGTTTTTCTTATACAATGATATTATATCATTGAATTCAAATTTAATACCATCCATTATACAGTGACCCACTTGTAACCTACTGTACAGCAGAGCGACATCCACTTGCCCACCTGTTTATAATTTATAATACATATATAATGATATCAGTCCCTTTAACATTGGGACTTTTTTCCGGCATTCCTTTTGTAGACGTAAAATTATTTAAGATCAACAATGAGTCAAAGTCGTCTTACTGGTGTGGCTATATTATCTATAGAAAAAAATATAGTGAAGAAAATTTCATTTGATGATGTCATTGATCAATTTGCTTCAATTAAATTAAGAAAAGTACCTTTGTAGTTTTTAATATTGTATAAAAATTATAAAGTTAAAATAAATCGAAACTATTAAACACAATTGTAAAACAAATCTTTTGAAAAAGATTTCTTTTGTTTTTATTATGTACCTAGTAATTGTTTATGTACCTACCTACCTATTAAGTAATATAAATACATTAATATAAATTATTTAAGGTTATTACTTATTACTCGAAATATTCAAATATACTATGTATTGTTACATGTTTTATATAGGTATTTAAAATAATTTTTTTTTGGGGGGGGGGGGG